CCTTTAAAGAGGTGATAAAGTTAAAATAGGATCATTAGGGTGGGGCCCTAATCCATATGACTTGTGTCCTTAAAAGAACAAGAAATTTCGAACACACAGAGGCAGCAGAAGGGGGCCACCTACAAGCCAAGGAGGGAGGCCTCAGAGGAAACACCTTGATCATGGACTTTGAGCCTCCAGAACTGAAAAGAACATTAATTTCTGTCATTTAAAACCCCTCAGTCTGGAGTATTTTGTTGTGGCAGCCCTAGTAAACAAACACACTGAGCCACCTCAACGAGGCGGGTGGGAAAGCCCAGGAAATGACATCACCACTAACAGGTGCTCTCCTAAAGAGAAACTGGCCCTCAACACCTCTTAAAGACCAGAGATGAGGAGTTAAGGATGAGAATATTGCTATGGGGAACTTCAAAACCTGACCTGAAATAAAGTGACACCAAAGCACAGAGGTTGTGTGATTCCACTTTTTTTTTTGAACTTTTTACTAAGGTATTATTGATATACACTCTTATGAAGGTTTCACATGAAAAACCAATGTGGTTATTACATTTACCCACACCATCAAGTCCCCACCCATACCCCCCAATGCAGTCACTGTTCATCGATGTAACAAGATGCCACAGATTATGTGATTCCACTTACATCAAGTCCCTCGGACAAGCAAATTTACGGAACAGAAAGCAGCGTGGTATTGCCAGGGGCTGGACACGTCACCAGGGGGAGTTACTGCTGAATGGGGACAGAGTTCCTGGTTGGGGGGATTAAGTTCTGGAGATGGACAGTGGTGATGGCTGCACAACAATGTGAACGTGCTTAATGCCAATGAATTGTACACTTAAAAGTGATTAAAATGGTACATTTCTTAAAGATCCGTCATGCTTACATCAATAACATATTTTAATTAAAATCATAAGAAAGGGAAAAAACCCTACAAGAGCCACAGGAATTGTATTCCAGTCAGAATCAAGAACATGGGGTTCACAGTTAATTAAATCCACCACCACCCTCGAGCCTTGATCTAAAATGCAGCCTCAGTCAAAACTCAGGCCTACTGCTTGGCAACCTGAGAATGGAGACGCCCATGCATTCACTGTGAGTACGGATCCCCCTCCAACCAGTGGCGAGCCGCAGCCTGGGCCTCACACACGGCCGTGTCCTTTCCCAGGCGGGCCTGAGCACGTAGCTCACCTGGACTCTTTGTCCCTGTCGAGAGCGGCCGTCACATACGCAGGCCTCTGGGCCACAGGACTCCCTGCCAAGGAGGGGCAGCTACTGAGGCCAGAACAACACGTGAGGCAAAGCGGGGAACATGACATGCAAACCAGCAGTGTCTCCAGTTCCTTTGGTGAAAGGTTCAGGAATGCTTCATTCTGTTCCCCAAAGAAAGTCATCCTTCCCGAGCCAGAGAACACTCCTAACACTTGATCCAGACTGTGTTTCCACCCTGTTGATGACTTACATGGCCCCAGGCTGTGCTGGTTCAGTCTACTCTGCCTCCTTCACAGAGGAGCCTGTACTCACCACAGGTGGAGCTGACGAGGGGCCTGGGTGACCTTTTACTGCCCCACAGCTTCTCACTCAAACTGACCACCAGTCCATTCAATCTCCCAAGGCGAAAACAAAGCAGTGATCCTTCTGGCAACACTACACTGTCAGAATCCAAAGGGCAAATTAAGCTGCTTGACATACCTGTGAACACACAGGGCAGCGAGGCACATGAGGGTCCAGGAAGAAATCCAAGATCTGGGGTCACATCTCATGACCGACACTCGGAGAAGAGCTGAGGGACCCACAGGGCTGGGTGTTCATATCAAGAATTCCTCAGACCTCAAAGAGGAAAGGTCCCTGGGTCGTTTGGCCTCTCACATGACAGGGCTCAGAACAGAAAGCTAAAGGCAGGGGTGGAGTTCGGAAGCGACAGGTGCAACTGATAAGACGCTGCCGGCGACCAGCACACCCTCCCGATCCCCCCGTGCAACCCCAAGCTGTGAAAACTGGGAAGGGCGCTTCCCTTCTGGTTTGTGTGAAGTGCCTGCCTCCAGCCAGGCTCTGTGGGAGACGCGGCACAAACCAGGGATCCCTGCTTTCAAAAGCCACATACTCTGCGCTGCCTCACGGATGAACCAGGGCACCTGATGCCTAGGGAAATAAGCCAGACACAGAGGGACACATATTGTAGGATCCCCCTTATCCGAGGTACCTAAGAGCACACGGATCAAAGAAATAGAAAGAATGGTGGATGCCAGGAGCTGAAGGAGAGGAAATTTCCTTCAAAATGGGTGAAGATGGTAATTTCCTTTTTTTAATTTCCCATTTTACCACATTAAAAAAAGAAGCAATAGTCCAGAGTCACACAGGGGGAATGTGGGTGCCCTCGAGCCTCTACTGTCACTGCTCCTCAGGGTAGGCGGCTGCCCCCACCCTCTGCCACTAGACTTGTGCTGACAGCCAAGGCCCCTCTTCAGTGCTGCTGCTTCTGGAAGCTTCCCTGATCTCACTCCCTCTGAACACAAAAATTAGTGTGTTCCTGTCTCCCATTAACTTGCAGGCTCCCAGATAGATGGCAAGGACCATACTCTCTCCTTCTATGTAGCCCGCACGATACAAAGGAAGGGCCTACACACAGCAGGGCTCAGAGACGATAGGCCCTTGGGTGTGCGGAGCTCGGAGGACCCCTGGAGCGACCGGTCATGCTTTTCGGGTGCAGCCTGGGACTCTGGGAAGAACACCCAGAGGCCACCACATTCCGGAAGGACCGGCTCTGCCTCAAGGTCCTGGAATCCCAGCTCTCCCACTTCCTGGCTGACTCCTTACCTGCTGATGGGCAGCCTGCCATGGGGTGACGAAAGAACCCACAAAGGGCCCTGCATGGAATACACTGTTACCATGCCTGGCACAGAGCGGTGGGTGGTCATTTAGCTCCTTCCCTCAAATACCAGGGGCCCTCAATTCAGACACATGAGTGCCCACTCATCCAAAGGGATTCTGCAACTGTTAGATTCGGACCCCCACACCTGCTGTGGAGAATGAGAGTGACTTTCACTTCCCACACTGTGATTTTCCCCACTGTCCCTTTCCAGAGCCGGCAGGGCCAATTACAGAACATTAGTAAACAGTCCTGACAGAGACAGATGGCTGAGCCAGGAAGGATCCCTCCTTCCCCTCCAGCCACAAACCTCGGAGGAAAGTGCTGGGCAGAGTTTAAAGGCTCCCAGAGCTAAAACAACCAGCCAGGCATTTTAACATAAGAGGAGAGAGAGTGTGGGACCGACCTTGAGGACATTCAGAGAAGGATCCATCAAGTCCTAAGAGTGGGGTCCAAGTTGTAAAACTAACTCCTCAGCCATTTCCTGCAAACCTACCCTGTGTTACACGTGGAGCCGGGTCTCACGTCTGCAGCAGCTGTAAGGAGGGATTCATGAGCTGGAAGGCCCACGGAGACAAACACCATCCTACTGGGCCCCACTTTCTGCAAACTCAGAAGTTCCCCCCAGCACACATCATTTCAAATTGCAGGTCTTCATGAAAACCTCTTTTTCTTCTTCCTTAATAATGCTCTCCTGCAGCACGGCACAAAGGGACAGCTCAAGCTGGCTGCATAGGTCAACAGCTGGCCAGATGAGGCCAGTACCCAGCGACCACAGGGCAATCCTCCAGACCTCGGAGGAGCTGATGTGCCTGCAAAGCTGGCTTCTAAATACGACAGCCTCCCACCCCCTCAAGGGACTTAGGGGATGCAGCTGGGCCAGGCCTCGGGTCCAAGCAGCGCTCCACAGCCAGCCCCGGCTGCAAATGGAAGCTCAGCAACTGGATGTACCTAAAACAAACAGGACAGAGTGCTGATCACAAAAAAGCAGCTCAACAGAGCCAAAAATAGCCTCACTCCTTTCAAGAGGATTCTGACAGACCAAGCACATGCGATTCCATCAGCAGAAAAAGAAAAATCAATGGAGCAGAAAACCGGATCAACCCAACAAGGACCAGGACTCCAAGTGATTCCCTATAGCCTCGCACCTCCCAACCCACCCTCCCCCCACCCTCTCCTCACTCCAACACAAACTGTGCCTGGATGTCAAAACTTAGCCCTGTCATCTGCTGTTACATACGACCCCATAGGCTCGATCGTAGGACCATCAGTCAGACCATGGGTTAGCAACTCAAAATAAGCACCGGTGGGCACTTATCTGTGGGTAGATGAGGAAAACAGGACGCACGGAAGGATCAGAAAGTGAAGCTGGAGTAAAATGCACAGAGGAGCCCATGGGTGAGTAATGACGGGCGATGTCTCCCATCAGAGCTGGGCAGATCAGAACAGGTGTGGCTCTGCCTCAGCCTGGGATAAAATCTTCACCCTGTCAATGTTCAGCAGCCCACTGAGTCAGAACTGTCTGTCACCTCACTTCCTAATTTGTATTTTCACCTACTCTGACCTGTGTTCGGGCTGCTGGCTAGCAAGCGAATCAGACACGTCTACGACCTGGGAACAGCTTGCACATCTTGTGTTCCCCAAACGTGCCACATAACTGTTACAGGACAGCAACAGTGGGGTGGGGGGGGATTTCCCGAGACACGGACCAATCCCTGCTTAAAGCATCTGATGTAGGCAGCAGAGATGACTCCTCCTGACACCATCCCCACAGCCCAGAATGGAGGAATCGAAAGGGCTAAAAGATTACTGCCCAGGGCATCCCAACCCACAGAAAGTGCCCTCACCAGAGGCACACCACACTAAAACCGAGGGAGCCACCTACCATCCACACACACCACCCTGTGAAACTAACCCGGTTCAAAACACTGGGACTCTGCATTCAGGAGGAAGGGGTTTGTTCAGGCGCAGGATCAGCCTGGATTCTTCCCATCCACAAAAGTCTTTGAAAAATCACTCCAGAAAGTATCAAGTTATCCCTTGCCGCTAATTCCCCCTTTCCATTACCTACTACTGCTCAATGGTTCCCAGCCAGTATGCTGGTGTGCCCACCCAGGGCGGGGGAGGTACCCACCTGCTTCTCCATGGAAGGTGCCCTCCTGAGACAGCCTGCCCGACACGCTGTCCCCATCGCTGGGCCAGATCTGTCCCGTCTTGCGGACGCCCACGATGGTGGCCTCTGACACCACGACCTGGCCCTGCCTGTGTCGCTTCTGGCACTGCGGGGTAGGGGGGCTGCTGCTGTCGAAAGACTGCTGTGAGTTCTGTGATGGCGAGCGGCTCTTGTCCCGGAACATGCGGTAGGTGGTGGGGCTTGGGGACACGCGGCTGGACTGACCCGAGGAGAAGTCCTCCTCGCTGGAGGTGAGGTTCTCATTGGAGCTGCAGTCCGGGGTGTAGCCGCCTCCGCTGTCCTCAAAGCTCCGAGGGGAGTAGGACCTGCGGGGCCAGGTGAGGCGTTTCTCCTGCTCGGAGGTGCTCTGGCTGCGCAGGAGCGGGCCCTTGCCCTCCCCTTCTACCATCATGCCCCCGACGTAGATGCTCTGGTAGGGCTGGTACTCCAGGGGCGGCCAAGGGGGCCTGCCGCCGCCACCGTTGGCGTTAATCAGGTTGTCCTTCAGGAAGCGGGGGTTCAGCTCCGCATCCTCGTAGTCCCCATCGACGCCACAGCTGCTCTCGGAGCGCCCCCGGTGGGAGGGCCTGGGCGCGTCCCCCACGCCCGGCCCGGCGCCCTGCTGGGACTTCTTGCGCTCCATCTGCATGGCCTGGCTGCCCAGGGAGCTGATCCGGTCCGACACCTCTTTGTCGTTGACCTTCACCAGGCCGCGCTCGTGGTGAAACTCGACGTTCACGTAGAAGGGCTTCTCGGCGTCCGCCGCCCCGGCCTGGCTGTGGCCCTTGCGGATCCTCTCGAAGTTGGACCTGAGCGCCGCCACGCTGGTGGGGGGCCCCCGGTCGTCCCGGTCGGCGGGCGCGGGGGCCCCGGGCCTGCGGGCGGACGCGGGCCTGGCCTTGCCGGGGGAGCCCTCTCCGTCGGGCCGGGCCTCCACCTCCTCGGCCGGCGGCGGGTCGGCGCCGTCTGCGGGCGCGGGCGCGCGGGGCTCGGCGGCGCCGTCGGGGGTCTGCGCGGCGCCGCGGAAGCCCCAGCGCTGCCGGTCGTAGCTCTTCTTCTCCTTGGCCAGCAGCGTCTGCAGGTAGATCATGCGGAAGCGCTCCTGGTTCACCTCCTGCTCCAGGCGCCGGATGGAGGCCTTGCAGCGCTCCAGCTCCCGCTCGATGTCGCCCACCGAGCGCAGCTCCATGCGCGGCGGCTCCGAGTCCGGGAACTGCGCCCTCCACGCCTCGGCGAAGCCCACGGGGTCCACCATGGCGCGGCCGCCCTCACCTGCGCCGTCCAGCCGCGCGCGGGGCCCGCCTCAGCGGCGGCGCGGCACCCTGGCCAGGCCCGGCCCGGGGCGCCAGGCGGCCCCCATGGCCCGGCGCGGCGGCGGCGGCGGCGGCGGCGGGCGAACAATGCCCGCCCCCTCCCGGGCGGCAGGTGAGGCGGCCTCCTCGGCCCCCCCGGCGGCGCGGGGGCGGGCGCGCGCGAGGGCGGGGGAAGCGCCCGGGCCGGGCGCGCCGCTATTGTGTGCGGGGCTGCTCCGCGCGGCGCGGGGCGGGCCGCCCTCCGCTGAGCCGGGGGCCGCTAGCCCATGGCCGCCGCCCGCGCTCGCCTCTCCGCTCGCTCCCGCGCCGCCCCGCGTCCCGGCCGCCCCGCTCTCGCCGCACTCCCGCCCGGCCCGCACTCGGCGCCGCAGGAAGGGGAGGGCCGGGGGGCGGTGGCCGCGGCGCGGCTGACGGAGCCGGGCGGGCCTCTTAAAGGGGCCGCGCCGAGGGCGCGGGGCGGGGCGCGGCGTGCGCGGCGCGCGCGGCGGGGCGGGGGCGCGCGCGCTCCCTCACCTGGCCGCCCTCCTGCCTCCGGGTTCGCGCCTGGGGAAACCGAGGCCCCGCAGCGGCGAACCGGGCGTTCCGACGCAGAGTCACTCCTGGAGCAGGAACGCCTGGATCCCCATTTCACAACGGCCCGGAGGCCGCTCACCAGCACCAGGGCCACCCAGAGAGGAGCCGGGGGCGGCAAGTCACCGGCGAGCCCGGGAGGGCCGGGCTGCGCCGCCGACGCCCGCAGTCCTGTGTGCCAGCGGGCCTCCAGCGCTGTGGACCCGGGTGGGCGATGGAGCGACAGCTGCTGCAGGGGATCCCCACAGAGCAGACCCATCGGAATCCCTCCCCCAGGTCCTTCCGCACCCACATCTTCCTTCCTGCGGTCCTGAGCCTTGTGTTTGCCCGCTGGCCTCTCCTGAGCTCCAGAAGGCAATGAAGTTTTTCCCAGATTGCCTGACTCGGAATGCATGTGTTTAATCTCACTCTAAGGGGGTCACCAGCCTCTGTAACCCGCAGGGCTGGGCGGAAGACAGGACAGCCCAGGGCAGGCAGGGAAGCAAAATCTTTTTTTCTTACCTCCAGGGAAGCCCAAAGATCTTAGACACACAGCAAAGAGCGGACTGTAGGGAGTCGGCTGAGAACCGAATGAAAATCCCCAAACCCAGCCTGCTGGGTGAAAGGAAAGCGGAACAGGCTATCTGGGCTTGGGTCCTGGCTGCCTCTGCCTCTCAGTGCCTGGGCCTTAAAATTAGAACAAGGACCCCTGCCTCCGTGGGCTGCTGTCCCTGTGTGGGTGTGGGTGGGTTATCTTGCCCTCTGCCAACTTTCAGCGCCACCCAGAGTGGATGTCTCAACATCTAATCTAGAAGGAACAGAGCCCAGGGCCAACAGCCAGGCCGGCTTGGTTCCAGTTCAGGCCTCGTCAACTGCAGACTTAGTGAGCTGGGCAGCTCCCCTCCCTTCTCCAAGCCTGTTTTGTCCTTACATTTAAAATGTACTGAGTACTGTGTGTAAAGCACCCAAATGGGGGAAACATAAAAGTGCGACAAATGGCATGTGGTGTGGTGTGCCTTCCATGATTGCTTGTTAATGCACCTTAAAACCCTTGGGCCAGATGTCCAGGCACTATTCTCTGCCGCCCTCTGCAGACCTCTCTACCCTCCTGAGGCCCCATGTCCCCTCTGACCCAGCTCCTATGCATGGCAGATCTCCTGCAAAGCAGGTAGGGCCCTTGAAAAACCTGTTTTACAGACGAGGCGACAGAAGGAACTGAACCCTGCCTTTGGGGCCAGACAAAGCAAGGCCAGAATCCTAGCAGTGTTCACATCCTCAGTGACCTTGCTTTAAAATGGGTCTAAGAAATCCTGGCTTCACAGGGTGTGGCACAGAGTGGCTCCAATCAACATTAGCTGCCTTGCTTGGATGACCTGCTCAGGTCACCCAGCCAGTGGGTCAAGCGAGGATTAGAATCCAGGCCTCTGGAACCCCATTCCCTGGACAGCAGCAGAGAGAATCCCAAAGACACAAGTTTGCTTTTTTCCCTTGCTGATGGGGCCCCTTAGGTCCCAGGGAGAATTGTGGGCTCATCAGAGACATTATTATTAACCACTTGGGATAGAAAAGGATACTTTGGATGGGAGGCTTCATCTATCGGTGAGGTGTCCCTTTCTGTGGCTCATCCCAACCTAACGTATTGTATACATAAGCAAACTTAATTCAGGAACCCTGACTCTGTTTAGTTTGGGTTTGCAGGCTCTGTTCTCTTGGCACAGCAAATGGCTTATTTTTGGGCACAAGGACACAGCAAGATAGTGGCTGTCCCCCCACGGGACAGCTGCTTCTGGCTCCAAGGACACTCCTCCCATCTCCAGTCCCTCTGCACCTCTGGGTCTCTGGTCCTTTCCTGCAGAGCTTTTTTATCATCCATCCCTTCCCAGGAAGGGAGGAATGAGGAGGGAAGTCGGGTCCAGACACACAACACTCCGTAATTCCCCATTCAGTGTCTGTCGCCAGCTAGATCTAAACTCCTGAGGACAGAGGTCTGTCTGTTGGTTCCCCGATGACCCTTCCCAAGGCTCAGCACATAGCGGGTGCTCTGCCAGTGCTGGCCGAATGAGGAATCTGACGTGTGTGTGTGGCTCGGAGGAGCACACGGCCAAGGGAAAGAGATGCAGGGGTGGGAGGAAAGGAGAAAGCAGGCAGAGTTAGCCACTGCACAGCTCTGTCTGCTCTGCAGGAATCCAGGAGGCAGAGGTCGGGGGAAGGCTTGGGAGAAGTGACATCTGAGCTGGACCTAAGTTTGGGGAACAGAAAGGCGAAGACAGGAGACTTCAGAGCTCTAGGGTATGTTTGAGGACACACCTAGCTGGGTTAGGAGATGAGGCTGGCGTGGGCAGTAGGAGGTGATGTCAGCGGTGAGGAAAAGCCTTACAGGCTTCTAAGAAGTTTGGGTTTTAATCTACATGCAAGGTAAAGCTTGTGGAAAGCTCTGAGCCTGAAAAGTCTGATAGAACTTCTAACCATAATGGGCATTTACTGTACTCTGCACTGAATAATACAGCAGGCCACCATCTTCCTGGTGTGACTCCTGAGTACCTAAAATGTGGCCACTGACTTTTTAATTTGATTTAACGTTAATGAATCTAAATTCAAATAGCCTTATTTGTAGCTGTCATAGGCTGCAGAGTAACTTGATCTGAGTTGTGCAAACAGTAGAGGGTCGGGGGTGGGAGCAGGGTCAGAAGTCAGGAGCTATGGCCCTGGTGCAGGTGAGGAACATTTGGTGCCCCAGACTAGGGTGCGAGCAGGGTGATAGAAGAGGTCAGATTCCAGGATTGTTCTGGACTTATAGGTTGGATGTGGAGAGAGGAAGCTATGGGGTGGTCAGTGGGTCACTGACTGTGACTGTGAAGCCAGGGTGCCCACATGAGACTTCAGGTGCCCATAGCCTACCCACAGGGAGGAGGCAGGGGGAGAGAGCGGGGGCCGGGAGCACTGAGATGAGGCAGAAATGGGAGTGGTGTTAGTGAATAGCTGGTGTTTATGGCCACCGGGCTGGAGACTGCCCCTGCCACCAAGGGGACTGGGTGGGGAGGAGCAGCAGCTGGACTCGGAGGGAAGCGGAGGCAGAGGGCCCGAGAGGGCAGTGGCCAGGGAAATGACAGGGACCCAGTAGTCCCAAGGAATGCGGACTTGGTGCAGAGGGCAGGGCCCCTGTGCGATGGCTGCTGAGCCCTCTGGTGGAGGGAGGCTGGGTCTGGTGCCATGAGGCCAGCAGAGCCAGGATGGGCGCTGGAGGCTGGCTGCACGAGCTGGAGGCTGATGGGCCACAAGTGCTGGTCTCAGGGGGACTTCCAGGGGATTCAGCAGGTGGAGGGGACTTCACCAGGAGCTCCACAGCTGTCTTAGAGCAGCGAGTGACATTTTCTCCGTTTTGCTTTTCTGAATGCTCCATAATGAAAATGTCTTATCTTTTGTAATTGAAGAAATTGATGTTAGTTTTTGTTTTTATTTTTTACAGCTTTATTGATATATAATTGATGTGCAATAATTTGCATATATCCAAAGTGTGCTCTTCAATGAGTTCTGACATCTGTACCCACCCATGAAACCACCACAATCAGATAACAAACATTTCCATCACTCCCAACAGATGTATTGTTTTTAATAAAACAGTAACTAAAATGGGAAAGCGAAGTAGGATTATTGGTGATGTCTACCCTCAATTTCCTTCATTTTCAGGGATGTAGTTATTTTGCTTTTAACATTTAAAAATCAAGCGCACACACTCACCTCTCATGCATCCTCAGCAGCAGCCCTTAGCAGTTCCTGAGCCCCCGTCACAGTGCTGGCAAACCCCTTCCCAAGGCTGCCTTTTCCCTTTGCTGGAGGACGGCTGGCCTGCAACAGCCCCCTCTGCTGGACAGAACATATAACTTCCGATGCCTTAAAGCCCCGGGTAGGGCAACAACCCAAATATCTGTCAACAGATGAATGGATAAATGTGATACATTCACGCAATGGAAAACTATTCGGCCACAAAAAGGAATGCTACGACATGGATGAATCTTGAAAAAATTATGCTAAGTAAAAGAAGCTAGTCATACAAGGCCACATATTGTATGATTCCGGTTATACTAAATGTCCAGAACAGACAAATCTACAGAAATAGAAAGCAAGCTGGTGGTCACCTGTGGATAGGGAGAATGGGAGGAACAGAAAGAGACACTCGTGGCCATGAGCTTCTTTTTGAAAATGTTCTGGAACTAGACAGTGGTGATTATGGCACAACTTTGTGGATATACAAATACTAAAAAGCATTCAATTATACACTTGAAATGGGTGAATTGTATGATATATAAATTATATCTCAATAAAGCTGTTAATGTTAAAAATGAAAAATCCCTGGGGATAAGTTAAGCCAGCCCTTGGGTGTGCCAGCCCAGGGTGGGAGCAGTCCCTGGACCTGCTCACTGAGGGGGATGGATAAGCATTTTTCTAGCATCTCCTTCGATCCTCCCACTAGCTCAGGGTACTGCCAGGTCACCCAGCCTTTCAGCTGCAGGCAGGCTTGAGGCCCAGGCCTCTAGATCCTCTGGCCGGTGTGCTTTGTGTCATTCAAAAGGCAGAAGGCCCCACTAGTGTGAAACCAGGGACTGACTTGTCCTTCAGATGTCCATTTGTTCATTGTAAAATGGACTGGCCACCCCTGCCCCCCTTGGGGACTTCCTGAGCAGGGCGGCCAGCTATGGTTGGGCAGGGCGCACATCGAAGGAGCAGTTAGGGAAGGAGCAAGCAAAGACCTGAGCTTTGAGTTGGGTAGGTCTTCAGGCAGAGAGCAGAATAGGTTAACCCAAAGAAACAGAAAGTAGAATAGTTGTTATGGGGAGTTGGGGCTGAGGGTTGCACAAGGGCTCACATTGAAGGGGCAACTGTTCCCAGCTTAGACATGGTAGATATGATACTGGTGGTGACACCAATTGTAAAAAGATGTCTTGTTCTTGCAAAATCAGTTTACAACAGCAGTTTTCTAACAGATGGACGTCAAATGCCTTGAGCAAGGAATACTTTTTTACAATTGAGGTGAAATTCATATAACATAAAATTAACCATTTTAAAGAGCACAATTCAGAGGCATTTAAAACATTCACAACTTTGTGCAACCACAGCTAGTACCTAGTTCAAAAATGTTTCCATCACTTCAAAAGGAAACCTCATACCCATTAAATAGTTGCTCCACATTTCCCCCTTTCCCCAGCCCCAACTCCCCATAACAGCTATTCTACTTTCTGTTTCTTTGGGTTAACCTATTCTGCTCTCTGCCTGAAGACCTACCCAACTCAAAGCTCAGGTCTTTGCTTGCTCCTTCCCTAACTGCTCTGTACCCTCCTCCCCACCAGCTTTGGGGGCTAGAGGCCAGAGGAGGGCCTTGAGGCGGGATGTGACCCTCATCTGTCATCTCTCGGCCCCAGGGAGCCGCAGCAAGATGAGCAAACCAGGCCGACCACCAATACAGCTGTTCTTCAGTCCTGCCAGCCTGCGCTGTGCTAGACAGTGCCTGGCTGGGCACCTCCTCCAGGCTCCAGCCCCCAGCGCGGAGTGGGAACACGGGTGCCTGTGGGGCTTCCTTGGCCAGGGGCTCTGCATGAGTGAGGGTATGGGCTTTCCTCGGGCCCCCTCGGCTGTAACTCCACCTGCCTTCTGTACGGTCAATTACTGATGAGGCCCCTACAGCCAGGGGAATCTCGACAGGCCCTGGCTTCTGGCCTTCCCAGAGGGCGTAGGGGCTGGGACAAGATGAGCTTGTTCCTGAAGGCCTGGCCAGTGCGATGGGCCAGACTGTGGTTTCCAATGATCAGAGACCCAGACCACCTGCAAGCCAGGTGGCACCACCCACCTGTGGGGGGCGAGGGGACCCTGGGGCCGCATTCCTTCCCGACCATCCATCATGTATCCTTGAAGATGGTGGGCAGCAAACAGACCAAAGGGCCTGTTCACAGCAGCCTAGGGACAGAGGGCACTACTCCTGTACCCTCCTGGGGTACAGCTCAGACAGGTGGCTGTTGGCCCTGAATGCTAGGGGGGCATCTGAATGAGGGGGTGGAGGCCAAGAAGGCTCTGTGCTGCCTGGAAGGAGGCGGTGAGCCAGCCACACTTCCCATCTGCCTATCAACTTCCCTCAGGAGAAGGCCCAACATATGGGAGGTGACATTGGGAGGCCACAGCAGATGGCAGAGCTCTCCAGAGGTCCACAGCAGGGCTGGAGGGAGGGAGTGGCAAGCAGGTGCCCAGGGCTGGAGGTGAAGAAGGCTGAGTGCTTGGCTCTGGGTCACTGCAGAGCCTTCCTCACGTGACCAGGGGCTGGGGAAGGACTGACAAGCCATCGGGGGCTCAGGGAGCAGGGAGCAGGGGGTGGTGGGGGAAGGGACTGACTGGCTCACTTCTTAGCTATGCTGGAGACTGGGTGGGTGTGCTGGGTGTGGTTGGGGCTGAGCAAATCAACCCCCTTCAGGGTCACAGCCCAGGGCTGCAGGGCACTGGGACCACTGACTGGGAGACACGCAGGTAAGGGGCAAGGGTGAGGCTGCCGGTGTGGGATTCCCACTGGGATCAGACCCCAAGCTGAGGTGGGAGAGGAGGTGAGAGAGGGACTAGGAATCCCGAGGAGGGGACTCAGGTTCATACCATCCTGTCAGCTCTTGGGGCCTGGCTCCTCATCCGTTAGATGGGGATGGGAGGGTCATGACCCAGACCACAGGGTTACTGTGATGGAGCGAGGGTCTCCGGGTCCTCCGTGCTCAGCAAGTGGGGTTCTCACTGCTCCCCCAAGAGGCTGGGGGCTCCACTCCTTGATGGCCCTGCTTTGGGAATGCTGGGCCAGAACTGCCAAAGTGAGTGGGTTGGAGTCGATGACGGTGCCTGCTGGGGTCAGGGCTGACCCTGGCTCTGGCCTCACCCTCCAAGGAGCCGAAGTGCAAGTTCCAGTGGTAGCCACATTACATGCCTGGGTCACCCGCTCATTCGGACACTTGGTGGGCTGCTGGTGGGGACCCAGCAGTGAACAAGGTGGACCACCAAGGCCAGAAGAACGGTGAGTGCTTCAGTGATGCCTCCAAGGAGACAGGGATGTAGGGTGCCCAACCTGGGGGTCAGGCCAAAGCAGGCTTCCCTGGGGAAACTGGCAGAGGACGGGGTAAGGGGCTGCTCAGCAGAGAGGGGGAGCAGCAAGTGGGACAGGGCCCTTCACCTTCTCCCCTTCTCCTCAGCTCCTCGTCATGGCCCCTGGTGAACTGGGCCTCCCAGAATCCACACACTACGGGGCCCCCTCCCACACTGACTCTGAGCTTTGCCCAGTGGGACATGTGGCCAAAATGCCCCATTGCGGCAGGCGATGCAAAGGGAAGACAGACAAGCACATTCCTGCTGGGGGTTGTACCCTTGGGGCACTCTCTGGAATCTGGCTGCCATGCTGTGAGGAAGCCCAAGCCGCCATGTGGAGAGGCCTTGCCAAGCATCCAGGCAGATGCCACACCCACTGTCAGACACACAAAAAAGAGGCCATTTTAAACTACTGGGACATTCATTCCAGTGCCCTAGTCACAAACTTTGGAAAAGAAGAGCCAATCAAACTACAAAATCATGAGAAATGATAAATGGTTGTTACTTCTAGCAACTCAGTTTTGGAGTGATTATACAACGATCAATACCCAGCACTCCCCTGGCCACCACCTCCCGATCTAACTCCTTCCTGTGCCCAGACCCTCTTCACCTTGCAGGAGGCTCCTTCCCTAGGCATGCACAACTTTTCTCTGGAATTTTCTGTGGCTGGCTCCTTCCAAACTCCTCCCAAGAGCAGATCTTATGACTGAGTCCCTACCATCCCTCACTGCTTGATGCCAGCAAGGATTTGGGGGGCCTCTGGGTGGGTGGTGAGGCACCCTGGCTCTGACCGCCCAGGAGAGCCAGGCACAGGATTGTCCCCCAGGGAGGTCTACGTTCAGGCAGGGGGCATCGGGTCAGAGTGCAGTATGTGTGCTGGGAGTGACCAGCAGCCTTCTCGCCTCCCTTTTACACCTATTGAGCACCTAGTGTGGGCCTTCCTCCTAGGAGGTGCTGGGAGAGGAACCATCGCCTGGCTCTTGGGGGTCCCACAAGAGGATGGGGGGTAAAGCCCAGACACAGACAACCACACCCATAGTTGACAACTGTGAGGAGTGGCGGGGGCACCCATCAAGTCCTCCTTGGGGAGAAGCGCCCGAGCCACTGGGCGTAGAAGAGGGCCTAGTACCTGCAGACTGAGCCGTGACCAGGGAGGCAGGCTGGAGCACAGTGCCCGCAGGGGTGGGCCGGGCGGCCAGTAAGGGACCTCAAGTGCCAGGGCAAGAATGTGGGCTCGAAGAGCAGGGGAGGAGTGGGGAAGGGGCTGGGGAAATGTGGCATGGGGACAAATGTTTCTGGAGCACTTGCATACGGCCCTGGGCCTCTGCTAGGGAAATTCACAGCCCCATTTTGAAGTCTGAGAATGTCTTTGTTGACTCACATCAATGGAACCACATGGAAGTGATTCTGACGGAGGAGACGCCACCTCAATCCTGGGAAACGGTGGAGCACACACAGCGGACAACACAAGTAGTTTAATGAAGGGCCATCGACTCAGGATGCATGTAGGAGCCCGTGTGGTTGTAGCTTAGGAGCTAGTAACCGCTGGGCACCATTACTGCCCCCAGTTCTGGGGCCTGAAGGGGCGAGGGCAGGGAGCTGTGGAGAGCCGGCCTCGCTCACCCTGGGCCACTCTCTGCTGTGTGCCGCAAACCCGGTCCTAAGGCACCCTCAGCACAGCCCGACTCCTGAGACTGTGTCTAGTCGACCAAGCCGGGGCTGCAGTCCACAGGAAGGCCTGCAAGGTCTCTGGGGATCTGGAGTACGCAACGCTCTGACTGCAAGGATGGCCACGGCACCTTCTGTACAAGCTCAAAGTGGGACACAAACCAGATGTCCCATATGCGGGGCAAGGTAAGTGGACCCCCGTCCATCCACAAAGGGAAAGTGGCAGGTGCTAAAGGAACAAGCAGGCTTTATGTGCAGAGAGGGCCCAGCAGGTCATCAAGAATGCAGGCTGCCAGGCAGCCTGTGGGGCGAGAGGTCATTCTGGTTAAACAACAAGCAAGCCAACAAACATGGTGGTGCTGCCCGGGAACAGTCTGGAAGGATTCCTCCCAGCCCCCAACAACACTTACTTCCAGAGACTGGAGCGGGACTTTGACTGCGTATACAGAGCTGTGTACTGTCTTCCTTTGTTTTACAATGAGCATGTATGTAATTCCTTTAAGAGTGATTTACATAGAAGTATTTTATGTCTGTAAGGGTGCTACAACATGGTGAAGGGGGATGAGCAAAAAAGATGCCAGTGTTCTTCCCCAGCTGATATTTGGTGACAGCTGCCAGCCCATGAGAACTCACTGGGCGCCTGCAGTGTGCCAGGCACTGTTCAGGGTGCTGGGAGAAGGCATTAGTCAGAACTGCTGCCCACAAAACGCTCACCATCCAGGAGAAGCAGGTAGGGTATGCCCACATGCCTGTGGCATGAGGTGGCAGGGATGAGAGGGCGCATGCCCAGGGCTGTGGAGTATGGGGTGGGAGGGGGTAGTTAACAGCCCTCCATGGAGAAGCAATAAGAGGGCACAGAGAGGGGCACTTGGGGCAGGAGCGGGGGAGGGAGGCCTGGACTGCTCCTGCCTGCTCTGGGTGTGCAGAAGGGGAGCTCACCAGACTCTAGTGGGTCTCTGATGTCCTCCCAAAACAGGTAGACGCCATCACAAAGGCCCTGGGAGGCACATACCTGGCATTTGCTGTTCCCCATACCTTCTTGTACAGGCTTTCTTGGTGGGTGAGGGGTGGCGAGGGCAATGGCAGGCACCAGCCCAGCAGTCTGGGTGACTGCTACCGGGGGCGAAGGAGGGCAGTGCCATGCACGAGGGTTGTAGCAGTGAGTTACCCCAGGGCTAGCTGGGTAGCCGTCTTTTTGTGGCACGGCTGGGGAAATTCATCGTCCACAGTGGGCCAGAGTGGGGCAAGAGGCCTGTTCTGCCCATCCTCTCATCCACTGACCAGGAGGGCAGGACTCCAGGGGTCTCAGAAGAGCCAGAGACAGCCCCTCAGCCAGAAAGGGCCCCAGAGACCTGCTCATCTATCCTCCTCCAGGGAGGCAGGCGGCCCATAGATCCCACAAGTCTGGGGCAGAGCAGGGAATGGCGAAGCCTGGGGCCCTGAGGCCCAGAACTGCAAGTTGTATTAATAACCGAGAAGTCCTGAGTGGGGATGGCAGGTGGGTTTTCCCTCCAGCTGGCTTTGGTAAGGCCTGCGCAGGCGAGCTGGGAGAGCACCTGAGTGGGCTGCGGATGTGTACCGAGGGCAAGGATATGGGCCGTGGGGGCCCAGAGGTCCCCTGTCTGCAATCCCGAGGCCCCTTATGACCAGGGGGGACTGCCTAGTGACTCTGTAGATGCGTTGGCCTTCTGAATGATCACCACAGTGCGCGCAGCAGCCGGGCAGTGTGGGGCCCCCAGGCAGGTAGTGGAGGCCTTTCCTGGCTCCTCTGGCTAAAGAGAAGTGGCTGAGAGCTGGGGTCAGCACGGCGGGTGAGCAGCACATGGCAGAGCTCGGGCTCCATGGCGCTGCTCCACAGCCTTGGACAGCACAGCCTTGGACAGCACCGTCCATGTGTGTGTTGGGAGTGGGAGCTCTGAGGCCCCAGCTAACAGCAACCCAGGCCGGAGGACCGCCTGCTCTTCTGGGTCTCAGGTGGACTTCCGTCTATTTCTGTGAAGAGGGGAGAAGCCACTTAGCGTCAAGCCAGTGCCTGCAGCCGACACTGGGCCGGCCCCCCTGCTGGTACCCTCTGGTGACTGCCATTTAGAGCTGGGAGCTTGCACAGGCCGAGGCTTAGGATGCATTCCAGGTGGTGGAACAAAGTGCCCAAAGGCTTGGAATAGGACAGCCAAAGCCAGCGCACATCTGTGGAGCCTGGGATGTCCAGCCAGGCCCAAGAGGAGGCTGCCAGGAGGACAGGGAAGTCAGGGAGGGTCTGGGCTGGCAGGTGAGGTCAGGGAGGGGGGGCCTGAGGTCAGAGTGACAGGAGAAAAGACAGCCCAGAGAGGGCAGCAGAGGCCAGCAAGTGAAGGGGACAGCGGAGTCTCCTGCTGAAGGGTGTGGGCCCCCGCCCTGACCCGGGGCCACCTGTACGCACGGATGAGGTCTCCGTCGCCGACCTGGAGCCAGGTGCTGCTCCTCCTCGCCAGGTCCTGCAGCACCGACTGCTCGAACGCGAGGGCGGCTACGCGGCTGAAGAATGCCTTCACGTTCTCCCCTGTGGGCCCACGAGACAGCCGTGACCCTGTCTGCCTCTGCCCACATCCGCAGCTGCACGTGGGTGGGACCCAGCAGATGTGGGGCCAGGGCAGGGGCAGTGCAGGCCTCAGCCACCTGCTCAGCAGCTCCTTCGTATCTTTGGGCCTGGTTTCCCAGTATCTACTACTCTTCCAATCAACTGCTTCTGAGCACCTCTTGTGGGCTGGTCGCTGGGACACAAGAAATCAGACGGTGCCTGCTGTCCTGTACCTCTGAGCACGTGTCTTGAGGGCAGCGTTAAGGATTAACGAGCCACCTGCTTCAGGTGGAGGCGGCTGCTCTTCTGGGCACAGGGCCGGGTCCCAGCTCCCAGCATGCACACTGGCCCCTGTAGCTAACAACCTGCACACTGCACAGGGCAATCTGCTTGGCTCACAGGGAGCACTCTGTGCTGTTATCGTGGTTAGAGGACACAGGGGACACCGCTGGGAAGGAGCAGACAGGGCAGGCATGGGCACTGTCATTCATGTTTGTGTTGGGCTGGAGGTGGTGCTGCCACCACAGTGCCTACCCTCAGCATGGCCACCACCGCCTTCCCCAGTTCCTGGCCAGGTGTGCCCTAGGCCCCTCGCCTGGGACAAGGACTGCTGGGTGCAGTCCTCCCTGCGGCCCCAGCCTCAGAGGCCGACCACGCACTGGGCGCTGACCACTGTGCCATGTCATCCCTCCACAACCTGTGTTCTTGGACTGTTCTTTGCTTCTCTGCATTTTCCAACTTTTTCTCAGTGAACACATTATGGCTTTTGTAACTTAAAACACATTTTTCCATCAAAGATAAAAATGAACTGGGCGTCATCACCCCACTTCCCAGATGAGGACACTGCGGCTCAGGCGCTGGGCACCTTCCCAGCCCAGGGGCCTAGTGTGGCCGGGGAGGCAGACCTGTGGCTTGTGCGTGAGGGCCAGGGGCTGTGGGCATGTTTCAGCATCAACATGGCCACTGGGGAAGGGATGGAAGCGCCTGTTATGGGCCCTCCTATGCACCAGGGGTGCTGCCCACCCAGCAGCCATGGGGAGACTGGCAGGACGTGCAATGGTTGCAGGTGAATGCTACATTCCTGCCCCAGTCCTCACTTCCTCCCTGGACCCTGGAGCAACCTCACAGGGAAAAACGGACCTGCCCCATAGGTGGGGTTGCACAGGGACCCCACTATCTGTGTCACTATTCTTGTCATCCTTGGGGCAGGGCACCCAGTCTCCTAGAGATGAGGAGACTCTGCTCAGGGAAAAGAAGGCCCCGCACAGTCGCCAGCATAGCTGGCTGGGGTGCGGACACGCGACAGGGCACAGAAGGAAATGTGTGGGCCTCCCACAGCTGGCCGAGCCCACCATGCCCACAGCCCCGTGTTCACTCACCTGTCTTGGCGGACACCGACCAGTACTCAGCCTGCATCTCATTGGCCAGGTGCACGGCCTCCACTTCCACCTGCTCGCATGCAGCCCCTGACTGGGAGAAGCAGCCCTCCTGGCCCAGCTGCCCAGCCTTCCCAGGGAGGTGGCTGCCACTGCCCACTGTGCCTCCTCCTTCCCCATGTCGCCCTGGGCTGGGCAGCCTTGGGGTAGGGGAATGCCTGCCTGGGATGGGGCCCCAGTGGTCCTGGGCAAGTCTGAGGGCCAGGTGTTCCTCTCTGATGGGACAAGCACGGCAACTCCAGTGCCCCTGACTTGCAGCTCCCAGGCCTGCATGCGGTCTTCAAATTCCCACAGAGGCACGTCAATGAACCCTTTACCCACCAAGCTTGGGCTGAAAGCAGAAGCATTTCCTAAAGGCCCCCCGGGCCTCCAGCTCTGCTCAGCTCACCAGAAGGTCCTTCTTGGTCCCCACGAGGAACACAAAGCAGGAGCCCGGCTCGTTCTCCCGCAGTGCGTCCTCCAGCCACTGCCTGAAACGCAGAGGGGAGACAGGCTGAGATACGACACTCGTCTACCTCGGGGCCCGAGGAAAAGCAAGGGCCGGGGGTGCAGCCTCAGGTGCAGGGAGGGCACCTTGACCCAGCCTGGCTCCACAGGGTGCTGGTTCTGAGGCCAGAGGGGCCTTGGCTGGACCGCAGAGGGTGGGGATGCTGGAGTGCTCATCAGGGGAAGTGAGGGTTCCATCCTGGCTGCGGCTCTGCCCTAGCCTGTGTCAGCTTGGGTGTCCTGCACGTCTCCATCAGCAGGACCACCACGCGGCCTCCCTCACAGGGCTGGTGAGATGCTGGGTGTGAGTACCCCAAACAGGTGAGGTGCAGATTCCGGCAGAAGAGGGAGGGCCTCCCAGAATGGGTCATGTTGTCAGCTCTCTGGACCAGATCTCTGCCCAACACATCGAGTCCCCTCAGACAAGAGCAGCTATACAACTTGCAGGGCCCAGGGAAAGTGAAAATGCTGGACCCCTCATCCTGCAATTATTAAGGCTTTCAGGATGGTGGCAGCAGGGCATTAAAGCAGGCCTGGGACCTGCACACTGGCCCTATGGGACTGCGCTGGCTGCACCCCCTAAGCCAGCCCTGCCTTCAGCAGATGGGTACAAATCTTGAGGGATAACAAGGCAACTGGACAGAAAGCAGCCTGTGGGTAGTTGGTTCTGACAATCAAACCTGGTCACTTGAAGCCACTGTCAGGGTCTGGCTCCTGGGCCCCGATGTGGGGGAGCCCTTCCAGGCAGCTTCCCAAGCCCAGGGGAACCACGGGGGCCAGAGTCCCAGACTTGCCTGGTGTGTTCCAGAGTCTGCACGTCAGTGAGGTCAAAGGCTGTGACGATCACTGTGCACAAGGGAAGAACCAAGAGCCGCTCAGCGACAGGCGAGGCAAACACACATGACAAGGGGCTCCCCTTGGGCGCCTCCCTGCTCCCCAGGGGCCCAGAGAGGAGCCGGCTCCCATGGAACTGCCAGGGGGCCCCCAGGCACTCAGCCCTGGACCCCAAGATGAGACACCCATGGCCACCCCTCAGGACCCATCCTCCCGCCACCCCCGTGACCCACACCTAGCAGGTCCCCTTCACTTCCATCCCCTCTGCCTCAGGGGCTCTGCTGCAGCTTCAGCCAACTGCACAGGGGGCCCCAGCTGCCCTGCTCCAGGGAGGCAAGCCATGGTCACGGGCTCCTGTGTTCAAATCCCCGCTCTGCCACTGACAGCCAAGGGAGCTCAGTGAAGGCCTTAACTGCTGAGAGCCTCGATTTCCCCATCTGTGAATTGGTGAGAACACCTCTAGTTGTCAGGGTTGCTGTGAGAATTGAATGAGTGCAGCTACTTGAAAAGCTCCTGGTCAAGGGACTAATGCGGGGCAGACTGTCAACCAAAGGCATCTGGGGTTCTGAGGGCGATCACCAACAACCAGCTTTAAGCAAGCAGTTTCTGAGGAGTAGGGCGGACAGAGGACAGAGATGCAAGCCCCGAGCCCTCGGCTCCTCTCGCCACTGGCGCTATGCTGGCCCGGGGGCCGGGCCCCGTTGGAGTCCTAAGGGGATCCCCGCGTGCAGGAACTGCAGAGAGCCTGCATGCTGCTGGCCCCTGGGGTGTGAGCAGGGCAGGCGGGGCCCCTCGGCATTTGGCTGATGGCTGGAGAGCCCGAGGCAGAGGCAACAGACGGAGAAGCTGATGGCGGTGGGGATGCTGGGCGTGGGTCACGGGGCGGCTGCTGTCTCCAGGTGGCGTCATCCCCTCGGGAGAGGGGCCACAGCAGAAGTGGCAGGGCCGGAGCTCCAACCCACGGCCGGGCACGCATGGTTTGTTTCCTGGTTTTGCTTTTTCCAAATCTTAATGAAAACGTATGATTTTCTTATACCAGTCCTAGGTAGACAAAACGGCCTCATACTTTGAGTTCTCCCTTAGCTCCCCACTTCCTCCTTGAGTTGACTCTGCTCTTCTTTTCTGGGGTCTCTGGAACACTCTTGACCTCTGAGCATCTTCCTGAGCTGACTCTGGGGCTGAGACTTAGGAGGAGTGCCCACGGCCACAGGGAGCCCTGAGGGTGCGGCTGCGGAGGCCGGCCTGGTGGCCGAAGGCAGGCGGCTGCCTGCGCCTGAGCAGGGGCCTGGGGGAATGTCCTCAGTGGTTCTCGGAGGACAGGTTTGGTGCCTTCTCATTTTGAGCCCGGGGAGGAGCCCCCCCCTGCTGCACGGGGTTGAGGGCCCCACCGCTGCCGTCGCCCAGCTGCTCACCCTGGGCACCCCGGTAGTAGGCGGAGGCGATGCATTTGAACTTCTCCTGCCCTGCTGTGTCCCAGCTGTGCAGTGGGAGAGAGAGAAAGGGGCACAGAGGGTGGCAGATTAAACAACAGCAGTGGTCTAGGCAGGCAGGCTAGTGGGGTTGTGGGTGGGCAGACCAAGAGCCTGGCCAGCTGCCCAGCTGCATGGGCTTCAGGAAGCGCCACTGCCAGCCGGCTACCCCTGCCCTTCAGTTCCTCGTGACCCTTCCTAGGATGCCCCAGGTGGGAACTCCCCAGTGGGAGTCATGCCCAAGAGGGGGTGGCACAGCCTTAGTATGTGCACTGCTCGGACGAATGGAATTGTAGCTCAGTCCTTCTGACCGTGCAATGAGAAGATAATGTGCAACCTGAATAGCTCCCTCTGAAGACATGGATGTCCACACGTGGAGGAGGCCCCGCAAATGGGACCAGGGCTCCTGGCCAGGCTGCCAGCTGCGCCTCTGCCGTGTGATCATGTGTGACTGGTCACGGCTTCACACTGCGCTGTAGTGGAGGGGACTCTCAGCTCCCTAGGTGGGGGTGTCTGACAGGGACAGGGCTTGCATCTCCTGGATGACTCTGATCAGTCAGCTCTGGCTCCATGGAAAAGAACCGGCTAATGATGACTGCCATGGGCATGCTGTAGCAGAGGGGGTGCACATGCTCAGACCTATCCACCCAGGACATCAATAAGCAGGGCTGAGCCCTCAAAATTCATCCCTTTGTAAATTAACAGATCAAATTTTAATTTTTCTCCATAAATTGAAAAGTAGATAAGCCATGAATAAGACTATAGTCTGAAAATTTTTTGAGTGATCCAGCATGATATGAAACGTTTTGGCTCTGTTCTTTCATTAATTCATTCACATCTTCTTCCATTTCTGAAGCTGATGCTGGGAGGGAGCCAGGAGGGCTGCCTGGAGGTGGGGCCCGCTGGGTGGCCGGTAGTAGCCCCCATGTAGGAGAGTGAGGAGCTGAGCCTAGACACAGCCAGTGGCCACCACGGTGAGCCGAGCCACGGGCCACACTCTGCACGGCTCCACCCTGGCTGCACCCCCAGCTCGCCGCTCCTCAGCAGTCCTGGCTCCAGGTGCCCTTGGTCACACAGCTCATTTTCACAGCCTCTTCTGCCCTAGTCTGACCTTGCACCCTCCCTCGGGCGAGCTTCCATGGTACCACTTGGCTCTCGGTCTGCCCTGGGGCTGTCATTAGAGAAGAGGGTGCCATCTGGGCAGTTAGGGGCTGAACTCCAGGAGAGGGTGTGTGCTGTGTGGACCGCACGATCCTCAGGCTCGGCCTGGGCAGGGCACAGAGGATTGAGGAATGAAGCCAGGGGGGCAAGTGTGAGCCCTAGGGAGAGAAGGGAAGAGACCCGGGACACAGGTCTGGTGCATAGCAGCAGGCAAGGGGCACAGGGGCAGCCATGCAGGAAAGCCTGGGATGGGGAGGGCCACGCAGGAGAGGGCAGGGCTAGGGTGCCGGCAGGCCTCAGCATCTTCTCCGTGCCAGAGCAGAGCGGAGGCAAGGTCCAGAGCTCCGATGGGAAAGTGTGAGCCTGGGGGAGAGCCTCCGGGCTCTTCTGAGGGACAGTAAAGGGAAAGGCCATAGCTAATGGGCGACAAAGAGCAGAGGCCTGGTGTCTGTCAGGAAGGCAGACAGACAGACAGAGGGAGAGGAGCAGAGGCAGCAGAGGAAGGGCGGTGGGGTCAGGTGGGACGTGCAGCAGGCCTGAGGCAGGCATACGGACTGTGTGACCTCCACTAGAGCCTGGCATGCAGGGACCAGTTTTGGCCATTTTCTAGATGGGAACAGAGGCTGAAGCCACTTGCCGAGGCCACCCAGCTGACCTGGTGAGTGGGATCGTGGAGGGGCAGGCAGGGGAGGGGCGGGGACACAGAGCCAGAACCTGGAGCGGTCGGGGCTTCAGGGGAGGACAGGGATGGGTAGGCACACCAGGCTCTGAGGACTTTCCCAGGTCCGATGACCAACATAAGACATGCACGGGGACTGAGGGACCATCAGGGTCTTGGGGAGCTGGGGGAGCCTGTTGCACACGATGCCCCCAGGCCTGCTAGTCCAGGTGGGTCCCCACTCAGTGACACAGGGCACAGTTGAAAATGAGCTTGCCGAGGCCCTCCCAGGAGTCTCCACAGAGCCCACCCACAGCCACACAGGAAACGGCATGGCATAATGGCGACTTACATCTGGAGGCTGTAGGGAATCCCGGCAATCTCAAAGCGCTCGATTTCAAAGTCTACGCCAATGGTAGCCTTGTAGTCACGGTCAAAAACATTCTTGCAAAACCTGTGGGAGCAGAGGAAGTCATCAGAGAGGTTGGGTGCAAAGTCTAGAGGCAGCGAAAACCCACTCATAGGGAGTACAAGTTACGGTCCACAGAGACCAGGATGGATGGACGGAGCCGCCAACAAGAGCTGCGAAGGGGAAGAGCGGCTGGAGCAGCCCGAGAGGCAGACAGGGCCGGTGAGAGAGAAGCTGGGCAGCGGTTCGCAGGGAAGACAGTGAGGTGTGCCTGGGGCACCAGGGACAGTGCGAGGAGTGCCAGGCTCCCAGGATGCCACGCACTCTGCCCGATCCCCCAGCCCCAATTTCTTGCGCCCCCTCTGGGATGTGGTCCTCAGCAGCTACACAGTTTCGACTATGACAATGTTGTCTGGGCCTCCCAGCGCCTGGAGGAGCGACCGGCGGGCCCACCTGTGGATGAGGCTGGTCTTGCCCACGTAGAGATCGCCGACGACCACCACCTTGGAGAGTTTGAGCCTGTTAAGAATACGGCCATGTTGCTCTCCTGCATGGTCACAAGAGCATCTTCACACACACACCCTTCCTTCCCTGTGCTCCCCACTCGTGAGCCACCCCTCAATCCTGGGCAGGGCGTGGCCACCTGCTGAGACACTCTACGGTGTCTGTCCCCACCCCTGGCCCTTGGAGCAGAGGCAGGAAGGCCTGTGCTTGTTCCAGCAGCTCTGCTGTCTCAGGGGCAGTCCCCTGACCCCACTAGGCCCATGTCCCTGTCATGAGGATCAGAGCTGGGCCTGAAGAGTGGCTGGAGGAATAGAGGAAAGGCCATAGGTGGGGCTGTCCAGGCTGGGGTGCAGAGACACGACGCCCACGCGCAGGGGATATGGGCACAGGGGCACCGCCCTTGCGCTCTCCTCCCCGGCCAGGGGCTGTGCGCCTGCAGGCAGGTACTCCCTGACTGGGACATCACCGCCACTTGTTTCCTTGGAGGTGTCTGCAAGGGCCAGGCAGGTCAAGGGGCAAGTTGTGGCCAGGACTCAGGTCTGCACTGAGATCTCGCACTCTCAGGGACCCTGTGCACTGAGAGCAGCTGGCCCCTCACTGTGCAAGTGCTGTGTTCCCTGTGGCAGCATTCCCAGGACTCCTGGTGATACTTTAAGAGCTTCCACACTCATACCAAAGATGCTCAACGAGTAAACATCTGACCAGGCACTTCCTCAGCCTGCAGACAGCAAGAGGGCACCTCTGTGTCACCTGGTGACCTGGTGCATGGCAACTGGCCAAGCCTGCAGGGGCTCAGGCTGTATCTACTCTGTTCCCAGGCAGCCTCTAGTTCTGGAGCAGGGTGGCCCTGACTCCACTCCACAGATGAAGGACTGAAGGCACCACCAAGGGGCTGTGAAGGTACCCTTTGTGCCTCACTTTCCCTACCTCCCAGCACTGTTGGGAAGAGTCAGGGAGGAAGTCTGAACCAGCCCCATCTAATCAGTGGTCATCCCCTCAGCTCACGGCCGTGCCGCTTAAGCCGCTCTGCCCAGAGCCCTGCCTCACTGGGTGCCTCCTCGGGAAAGCTGGGCCTCCCCCTCAGCCTCACCACACCTGTGTGATGACTGTGAGCCCTGTTGGCTCCCTGAGCAGACTGTGGGCAACTCAGGATGAGGGGCGAAAGCTGCCCTTGGACCTGTTAAAAAAAGGAGCAACTGTTGCAAAATCTCTGTGCTGGCAACACCAGGTACTGCCCAGGTTCCCAGGCTAGGTGTGGTGAGTAGCCCAGATGGGCAAACGCATAATTCCACAGGAAAAACACTCGGTGCACAGGAAGGGCACCCCAGCCAGCCCAGCTTGGAGGGGTGGGTAGTGAGGGACTCAGAGAAAGCCGCCAGAGGACTTGACATCATTACACTGGGACCTGAAGAGCAGGCAAAACATTCCAGACATGCACGGACACCTCAGGCTGAAAAATCACGTGTCTGACTTACTGAGAAAAGGGGAAGCGGTTCCATGTGGCAGAGGAATGTCGAGCAGAGCCAGACATAGACCCCAGCGGTCTTCAGGCCTGTACTGGGTCGCACTGGTATAGTCTGTTTCCTCTGTTCATTCACACGATCATTCCTGCACGCATTCCTTCCCCATCTCCCCCACATCCCGCGCCCCTGGGCTGAGGTGGCGCTCACCCGGCAGTCCCTGTGTTCCTGCTCTGGCAGACGGTGCTGACCTGACCGTGAAAATGCTCTCTGAGCTGCAGGCAGGCATTGGGCGTGTACCACTGGAAAGAGACAAACAGATGGACACATCGTCCTGGGAAGCCGCAGCTCCATCACCGGGCAAGGCAGCGAGGCGGGAGCTTGCTTCCCAGCAGCCCCTCCTTCCCTCTCGAGGCTGGCAGCCTCATCAGCTTTCCATGATCCCTTTGACATTATCTGGCCTCAATCTTGTCAATAGTTTCCAGTCTCCAAAGTCTTGTAAGTTCCCAGAAGCAGCACAGGGGACAGACCCAAAGGCCAGGTGGGGACCCAGAAAGCTGGGTTTTGCCTCGGGTGGCTGTGCCTTTGCTGCAGGCATGTGGCAGGTCTCTGTCTTCTTTGGGCCTCTCAGGTGAGACGAGTGGTGGGCTATGAGGCCTCTTTTAGCTCCAAGATCCTCCCGTGCCTTCTATGGATCTCTGATGCCACTTTTGTTTTAAAAATATGCATGTATGTACATGGAAAATGTTCTGGAAGGCACATCCAGTCCTCTGCATGTCTTGGAAAGCAGTACTGGATAGTGGCTTAACAGCATGGCCTCAGGATCACGAAGGCCTGTGTCTCCCTTAGCCTCTGTGTGACCCTGGGTGGTTGCCTACTATCTTTTCAATTTCCCCTGTCTCTCAGGGCAGGGAAAAACCAGAGTCCAGGAGTCAGACACTGCCAGATCAAGTCCTAGCTTTGCCATGCCAGCTGTGTGACATCAGGCAGCCCTCCCTACTTCTCTGAGCCTTGCTGTCCTGCTCTGAATATGGGGCCCTTTGTCCCACGAGACCTGGACTGTTTGGTGCCAATCAAGCTTCCCTTCCTTTCGGTTCATTAAACACCAGTCTCTGTCACCCAGAGTTACCACTGTCAGGCTGGTAGGGAAGCAACTGCCTGGGCCCCTGTTGAGATGGGAACCCCTGGGGGAATATCCATGGATCTGAGCACCAAGGCCTTCTCTGTGGTGTGTGGAGAAAGAACTCTGGGGGAAGGCAGACGACGGGGAGAAGGAGTGGCTTGCAGTCTCCAAATGCCCAGAGCCTGCAGTCACCTCCTTCCTCCTTACCAGCCTGGAAACAGAATTCAAAAGATACAAAGGCCACTCCATGGAGAGGATTTCTCCCTCCATACTTGTCTCAAGCCACCTGGAGGCAGCCACTGATAGCAGGATCTTCCATATCCTTCCAGAGATAGTTTGGTAAGTACAAAACAAACACAGGGCATTTCTCCCCTCTCCTTTTTTTCAAATGTGGGAGCATGCTACACACACTGCTCCTTTCCTTGCATTTCTACTTAATTCTGCTCCTTTCCTTGCATTTCTACTTAATTTACTCTGGCCTTCACTGCACATCAGCACCTGAGGTGCCTTGTAGCGTTTTGCTGTTTGAGTAGCCTCTGCTCAGTGGACATTTACATTGGGTCTGACCTGCTTTACCATCTGCTGCAAGGCCTGGACTTGAATGGCTGGATCAGAAGGTGGGGGCATTGCAATGTGGGGAAATACTGCCTCACTGCCCTTATGGAGGTTGTACTGATTTGCATTCCCTGCTTCAATTAGACGGAATTCAGCTCAGATGGAAGACAGCTGTGTTTTCCGCAGGAACTAAAGGTAGAATGATAAGGATGGGGGAAACTGGATCTGGTGTCAGGAAACTGGAGTGCTGTTTTGGTAATAGTAACAGTAATGATAATAATGAGAACAGCAGCGACAACAGCTCAGGCAAGGGAGCCCCTATGTACCATGAGCCAGGCACCCAACTTGAGAGGAATTATCCTTGTGTATCAGTAGCTCTGAGAGGTTGAGTAAGTTGCCCATGGTCACACAGCTAAATGACAGTCAGGACTCACACCTAGGACTATCTGATCTCAAAGTCCGTGCCCTTAACTTCCAAGCCACACTGCCTCCTGGTGTCACCGTTAATGCTGGTCTACCTTGGGCAGGTCATTGCCGAAGTCTCCAGTGTCTCAAGGAGTCTGGTAAGTCCCTGAGGTCTGTCAAGTGAGGGCCTGACCTCTTGGATTCACCTGCTTTGTTTCCAGTGGTGAGTGGGTGGGGAAGCTGGGTGTGGGCATGGTGTCAGGAGAACAGTGCACACATAAAGGGCTGGCCTAAGGATTCTCTACCTTAGGGAAGCTGGTGATGATGCGGTCCCGGCTCACAGGGGGCCCCAAAGGCATCAGGGAGGACCTCATCCTTCCAGACTGTCCTGTGGACCCAACCAGGGAAAGATTAGGGAGTGTGCAAAACCCTGGCGACTCACCCGCAAGTGTCGGCCTAACTTTGCAGCATTTTAAAAACCATATCCAAGCCTCCTTCTCTGTCAGGAACATGGGCCAGAGGTCACGTCTTTCAATCTGCAGGCAGTATGGTGGTGGTAGGGTTAGGGGAGACCTGGCTTGCCTGCGGGGTGTCCCACCAGAAGTGGGCCCCTCTGAGTTATAACTGGGCTGTGAGCGAGGCATGGCACAAGCCAGGCTGTGCATCAGAGGGGGCGGGGGGGTATAGAATGGGGAGGAGTCCCCGGCTTCCAGTGACTGAGGAATTGAAGGCTCTAGGTGGGTCGGGGGCCTCAGCTTTCAGCCCACAGGCCTTTTCCTGAAGGCCCTCACCTGCTCAGAGCCTGGCCCATCACACCTGGTAAACAGCGTTGCGTGTCCTCCTGTCCAGCCCTCTCCCCACCAGGGTGACCTTGGCTGTCCTCCCTGATCTGACAGGGCTTTCCTCCAGGGACCAGCACGGGCCTGGCCTAGGGTGAGTGCGCGGGAAGTGCGGAGGCCCAGGGCCTGCAAGCCCCACGCCCGGGACACGCCCGGGGGAGGGGGTGGGGACGCGACGCCCCCCAGCTGGGGCCTCCGGGACGTGCCCGCTTAGACGCAGGCGAGCGTGGGGGAGGGGGCGGCGGACTCACCCGCGGCGGCTGCGGAGGCTTCCCGCGCGGCACTGCCGGCTCTGGCGGCGCTGGCCGCGGCGATCACCTAGGCAACGCGCGGCGCGCGGGCTCCGCGGGCTCTGACGATTCCTGGACGTCCGGGGAGAGGTCTGGGCGGGCTTCGCAGCGGAAGCTGTAGCAGACACCGCCTGCACGAACGATCACCATAGCAACCAGAGCCTCGTGGGAGCGGCGCGCGCCCGGCAGCACCGCTGCCTGGAGAGACGCAGGACTCGGCCCAAGCCCCGGCAGGCACCATGGCAACGGGGGCGGGGCCTGAGGGCGGGGAGGTGGGCGGGTCTAGGGGCAGGGGTTGGGCCTGGGCTCCAGGGGTGGGGTCTGGACAGGGCTGACCGTGGAGAAACTCGCGCAACCTGCCTCCCAGGTGATCACCGTGCCTGGGAGGGGTGGTGGCCTGGGAGGGGAGGTAGCTCTGGTAGGGGTTCTGTGAAATGCCTGTGTTTATTTTCATAATATATTAAGTAAGATTTTTCCTGGTTATCTAAATAGTTCGTGTTTTTCTTATATATTGGTATGGAGGGATCTCCAAGATCCCTTGACTCTCTCTCACACTCCGTATTTGATCCATCAGTAAATCCTGTATCCTCTCTCTCCCTCCCACTTCCACTGCTGTCTCTCTGGTCTAAGCCATCATCTTCTCTCCCTGTAACTGGTCTCCCCGCCTCCACCCTGGCTCCTATCCTGTTCCCAGTTCCGCAGCCCCAAGGAGCCTCTTGTTAAAACACAGATTAGATCATGTAACTCCTTGGCGCCAAACCTTCCAATGGCTTCTCCTCTCTCTCAGATTTAATGAAATATTTAATGGCCCCAGAGGCCCCACGTGATTTGCCGTGGCCCATTTCCTCTCCTATTTCTCCTGCTGTCCACCCCACCCCCCACCTTCCATCCCGCACATGCTCCGCTGGCCTCCTTGCTGTTCCCGCAACACGCCAGGCACCGGGGGATTTGTTCTGACTGCTCCCTGACAGGCGTTTCCCAGATAATCACATTGCTCCCTCCCTCACCTTCCAGTTTGCTCAGATGTCGCTTCTACATGAGGCCTCCCCTGAACACCCTATTTACAATTGCAGCATCTCCTAATTCTTATTCTGCTCTGTTTCTCCCAGGCATCAACTATTTTCTAACGTATTATGTAATTTATGTTGATTGTCTAGCTCCCCCCACTGAGAGCCGTGAGAGCAGGGGTTTTGTGTCTAGTTCCTGGATGCATTGCAGTGGCTTAACAGTGCCTGCACATTGCAGATATTTAGTGAATGTTAAGGAAATGAAGAAGTATTAAATTTTTAAAAAGAAGGGGGAGAACACCGTTTTTGAAGTATGCTGCCGCAACATTAACAAGTAAATGAGTTGTATATATGTATATCAGTTTCGTTTGTCTCTGGAAAAAATACCAGTGGTTGCTGCAGGGGAGGACAGCCAACCACTGGCCTGGGACCGAGGAGGGAGGGGGACAGTTTACTTTTGTAATTTTTGGATTTTCCTCTATGTGCACATATTGCCTATTCAATAAATAATCCAAATGAAAATAAACAATTTGGAACACAGGGAATAAATAACATCCCCCATCTCTGGCCCTTCCTGGTCAGCCCTCATGTATTTTAGGGTGCTTCCCTCTTTCAAGTCTTTCCCACAGATGTCTCCTAGTCTTCAGAGCTCTTGCTCTGGCGTTTGATTGGAGGCCACACCCTACAACAGCAAGGGATGGCCATACCTACCTACTATTTACTGACCTTCATCTACACAGTCTGAATCTAGTAATGCCTGAATATCATCAGCCTGGTTTGTAGAGCTCATGCTACACAATTAATTTCTTTAATTCATAGCTGTTTAAAAACTGACCTGAGTCACTGAGCTCCTGTAAGCTAGTTTCTGTTTGGAGAGTGAGGCATGTGGGACTGGATGGCCCCCAGGGGCACTTGAAGACTGTGTAATCACCAGAACCAGACAGTAGTTAGCTTTGGGGAGAAGAATGGGTGGGGTATGGGAAGGAGAAGAGGCTGCGGGCAGTAATGATGTTCTTCTGGTGGTGAATTCACAGGTGGCTATTATATTTTTGTTTCACCAATTAACATACATGCTGCATATAACTACTTACAACGTTATGTGTATATTTAAACAGATCACAAAAAAGGAGGTTGGAAAATAATAAAATTGAAGGATAATTAAAATAAAAAAACTGTGTAACCAGATTCCGAGAAGCTCAGGGTTCCCAGCTTTGAGAATTCACTTGATTCAGCTCCCTGATTTCACAAACAAGGAATCTAAGACACACAATCAAAAGGATTTGCCTAGTGAGTTAGAACTAGAATTGGCATCCGGATCTCCTGACTTCCAGCCCAGTGATCTCCACACCAACTTCCTTTAAGAGCTAAGATGCTCTGATTTAGAGAGACTCTTCCTGACTTGATCCTTTAAAGGACAACAGTAGGGGGCAAATCTCTGCATCTCAATACGGGATCCTTGGCACACAGATGGAAGTTGGATATCAACACTTCAAAGCCTACGGTGCTGGAGGCTAATGCTTGGTGACTTCGTTAGTATCACTGCTAAGACTCATGTCTAAGGGGTGAACTTACGTGAGTTGGCTCTACCTGCTCCTGTGCCTGTTTACTCAGCTATATGAACCCAACAATCTACTTCAAGGGTTTGTTGTGAGGGTCACAGGAGATGGTGAAAGTGCTTTTCAGACTATAAAGCCTGATTCAAGTCCTTTGACCAGTCATTCAGTCTACGCTTATGTGGATGAAATGAGAGTTCCTGTGGCCAGGATTCTCACCTGGCCATGGTTGACTAGCTCACTGCACACCTGTGGGCAATACATGGCTGTTGACTCTATAAAAAGAGCTCCGCCCAGCGCTCTACAGGCAACATGGTGGCGGAGCTGCAAGGCTGCAGGAGAGCAGAGCAGAGGCCCAGAGGATGGCTGTGTGGACAGATGGGGCCCAGAAGCAGAGACTGACTTGCTGCATGCAGACTCACTCTGAGTGAATGGGATTCTAGTGACTGACCTGCCACCTGGAAATAAAGTTGGGTATAGCCCTTTCACCCCAAAGAACGTTTTGCTGTCAATTTATTTGGTCACACTGAATCCATAGTGAACTTGCCTGGGGCTGAAACCCATTGTCAAGACAGCTTACTGAAAGCCTCCTGGTATATTTCTGGCACTGGAGAAGCAAGTACACAGAACTGACATGGCCTCTGCTGTCAGGGAGGTTGGAGCCTGCTGGGGTGGGGGGAACAGAAGTAAATAGAGTTAGGGGAGGGAACTAGGGGATCACTTACTAATTTGGAGTTGTGCAGAAGATAGATTTCATGGAGGAAGTATACACCAAATTGTGTCCTGAAGGACAAAGAGGTGGTTAGTGTTACAAGCAGTCCAGGCTGTAGGAAAGAGTTGACCATTTGGGGGTGGGGGGTTAAGAGACAATCCAGTATGGCTGAAGAAAGCCATCACCAAGGGCCTTGAATGGCAGGCTAGGAGTCTGGACTCTGTCCTGAGACCAGTGCGGACCGTGGGAGGGTTTTATGCAGGTGATGGCTGGGTCCAGCTTGCTTGCAAGAACAATTGCTTTGGCCAGCAGTGTGTTAGATCCATGGCATGGGCCGATCTGTGTCAATACCAGTCATCCAGCCTGCAGAGCAAGGAGCATGGGCGAGAGGTAGGCAGTCCTGGGGTCAGACCTGTGCGATTTGCGGGAAGCTACTGAACCTCTTTGAGATTCATATAGGTAAACTGGGTATGCTATTACCTCACGGGATTACTCAGAATTCAAATCATGCAGAGTGTTCAGTACAGAAAAAGGCGTACTTCCCTTCCCTTTACCACGAACAAAGCTGGGCCGCCTTTATTCTCCACAGTAACCCTCTTAAGGATCATTTTCCTCACTTTACCTGACGCTGTTTGCGCCTGCGCAGTGGGCGCAGAACGTGGCGTTGCTGACGCCGCTGGGGTTGCCTGGCAACCGGGTCTCCAGGCAACAGACTTGCGCTACCGGAACCGAGCGCTGAGGCAGGTGAGCTGGGCGGCAAGAAAGGGTTCTGGAAACAGGGGACCCCCCCAGATCCCCCCCAGACTAGTTCACACGGGGCCGTCCTCACACTCAAGGCTTTCTCATGGTGGCCGGACTCCTGCAGCCCGTGACCCTTCTAGAGAACGGCAGGCCCCTGTCCCTAGCGCTCACTGCTCCCTCGGAGAGCAGCCCAGATGGGAAGAGGCTGCGTCCCTCGCAGCCCCTCCCCTCCCCTCCTTCCCTTGTCACCTGGTGCCTCTGTTACTGGAGTTGGCCATTCCTGTAGGGCTGGGGTCTGTCACTGCGACTAACTGCCATAACAGCTGCCACCACCACCAAATAATAACCACAGCCAGCATATCCGGAGCCCTGGGTTGCCGGGCTCATGAGCATCAGTTAATATGACAACTCTGGGAGGGATGGAAGCAGGTGCTATTATCACCTACCTTTTGCAGCTGTAGAAAGAGAGGAACTAACCATGGCCTGGGTCTGGAGCCCGTTCTTAACTATGAAGCCACACTGCCTACAGTTGCTCAAAGTGTGTATGTGTGTAATAAAAATAAATCACACTTTAATCTTAATTCCTTTTTTATGGTTGTGTCAGAAGCATCTGAATATGGGTCCCTGATGGGCAAATGAGCTGAACCTGGATTTAAACACTGATTCCTGGACTTACCACTGACCTCCAGCAAGCTCCTTGCCAATAAAACCTCAACTTCCTTCTATGTAAAATGTGGATAATACAGCTCCCCTCCTTCTTGAGTAGCTGAGTTATGTACTAAGTATTGCTGGCTCGAGATAAGCACTAAATGTGGCGACCAAATTAGTGTTTGCTTATTTGGTTTGGTTTGTCTCTGTGCCTGTGACTGAAGTCTCAGCCTGTAAAGTATTAGTTTCTGCTGTCCTTAAGCATGTGATAACCCTGGGCTGCCACTTACCTTCACTGTGACCTTGAGCAGATCCCTTCATTGCTCTCAGCCTCAGTTTGCTCACCTGTGACATAGAAGTAAAAATATCCACCTGGCTGCCCTTAAAGTTTTGGGGATCAAATGAGAAGTGGCTTCAAAATCACAATAGTAGCAACAACAATATTTTGGATTCTTTTTATCAGTGCTTTCTGCAGAGCTTCATTTCAAAAGCTAGAGAGTTGCCCTCTGCAGGCGTGGAAAGATGGCCCATTCCCAGATCTCTATGAACCTTCCCCTCGACAACAACCCCACCCAGGCTGCCACTGCCTATGGCTGTCGGGCCCTGCCCAAGCTGAAAGAGGAGCTGCAGTCGGAGGACCTACTGACGAGGCAGAAAGCCCTCATGGATCTGTGTGACCTTATGCATGACCCTGAATATGTCTACGTGGCCATTGACATAGGTGAGTATCTGCCCAGGTGACCATGACAGGGGTCTGGAGGGACAGACACAGAAAAACTGGAGGTTAGAAGAGCCGAGGTGACCTAGCCCCTTTACAGCATCCTCCCAGCTGGTCAGCCAGTCTGTCCATGCCCAGACACCACCAGCAGCCTGCCCAGAGCCACAAACAGCCCTCTCTGCTGTCGCTCAACAAGGCGGCCATGATTCCACCAAACAGACCTATTTATCTGTCTCATCCATAAGGCAGTCATGTAGATAGGCACATACCCTATTGAAACCACACATATATCTAGGATCTACGCCCCTTGTTTTCTACTCAGTCCTGATTACCAAAGTACGAGTTGAGGGGATTTCCATGGCATGGTTACACCTCTCCCAGGTCAGGCACATCATGGATGAACTGTTTCATCTCTCGCTAATCTTAGCTGAAGGGCTAGGTTAATTCCAGAGGAGGTGGTGGTCCTGGCATGGCCTTGGACACAGTTAGAGCTCCAACAATTAGGGTTGCTCCTTAGTGAGCCTGGCTCTGGGCCAGCACCACCCCATGTGCACTGCCTGTGTTATTTTTAGTGCCTCAGAGCACCAGCAGTGATGGCAGAAAATAAAAGGAGCAGTTTCTGTCAGTTGAGGAGTACCCTCAACCGACAGACAGGACAACCAAGGCTCAGAGAAGGGCTGTGAGGCTAGGGTTGCTGGACAAATAAATAAAGCAGGATTTTTATTTGCTCAATCTGGCATCCCTAGGTGTAACCCATTTAGGGCTACATGAGTAGTCTGGGACAGGATTAGACTTTGACCCCTGGTCTCTCTAAAGGCACAGGCCATTTTCCTAACCCTGTGGTGGGCTGTAAGAGAAGGCACTGCATGCATGGGGTTCACAGGGGGGTCAGATGAGACATTCCCTGGGGGTGAGCCTTTCTAGCACACAGAGACTCCTTCAGTGACTCTGAAATACTTTATAACTGACACAATTTCCCCACGACCCAAAGCAGTGGGACTTCCCGGGGGCCTTATCCATGGTTTCACTTCACAGTCTCAGTTACCCACAGTCAACCACAGTCTGGAAGCAGCTGATCCTTTTTCTGACAGATTGTCAGAAGGTGAACAGTGGCCCAGCACTAGGTCACAATGCCTACGTCATTCATTTCATCACGAATCTCACATCCTCCCAAGAAGGATGAGTGTGGTACAGTAAGATATTTTGAAAGGGAGAGCACAGACACATAACTTTTATGATAGCATATTGTTGTAATTGTTCTATTTTGTTATTATTGTTGTTAATCTCTTACTGTGCCTAGTTTATAAGTTAAACTCTATCCTATGTATCTACATATAAGAGAAATCATAATACATCTAGGGTTTGGTACTATTCGTGGTTTCAGGCATCCCCTGGGGATCTTGGGTGCACCCCCTGTGGGTGAGGGGATTTCTGCACTCTCTTGTCTGCCATTAGCTCACCTGTTAGCTTCTAGATTAGTTGATTTCTGAGACTGGCAAACATTCAAAGGTTTTTGTTTTGTTCTGTTTTGCTTTTTTAATGCCTTGCAGGCTGCCTGGAAAGCCTGAAAGCTTTGCTGAAGGATACTAATGACATGGTGCGGATAAAGACCACCGAGGCGCTCTACATCATGGCAAACCACAACGTGGGCAGGTGGGCAGCTGTCTCTGCAAACTGAAGTCTGGCTTTGGAGCCGCCCCTTCCCTTGGCATGGGCCTGCCCTTGAACAGCCTTCAGTATTTGGAATGTTTGTCTGTAGTGCAGATCTTCGGCAGGAACAGGCCTCTGTTGGGTGGCTACCTCTGTGGGGGCCTAGTGCGGTCCTCTGTTCCAGACTGGTTTTTGTGTTAGTTCCCAGCTCTGCACATCCCCCTTTGAAGATGGAAAGAAAGTTCAGGGCCCACACCCGCAACAATTTAGCCTGTTCTTGGCCCTTTATGGAGAGCCCAGTTCCTTCTCCCAGACCCTGGCAGGGCCTGCTACTTTGGCTCCTGTCCCCATGCAGGTGTTAAGACACCAGCTTCAAAGCGCACACCTCCTCTAGGCTGGTAGTTTCAGCATTATCATGATGCCCTCTTGACCTGGGATCATTTGTCTTACTTTGTACTGAAAACAGAGCTGAACACTGCAAACAGCATCACGCCCTGCCTGGGGAGGGCTGCCCAGAGAGCCCAGGCCCAGAAAGGAGGGGGACCCATGACGGTCACTGTGATGGTGATGGCGGAGGACACAGGGGGCAGGACACTCCCTGTCTTCGGACTTGCTTGGTGCAAACAACAGGTGCCTTCAGAGAAGCTTGAGAGGTTTTCAAGGGTGTCAGGGCATCTCACAAACCCCAAGGTCTCTCAGTGTCGATGAGTCCTCATCTGGGCCTGCTTGTGGGGCGGGGAGTGGAATGAGTTAATGCACATGACGTGCTCAGCCTGGCGACACCTCAGAAATGTCCTCCTAACGTTGACCCGGAGGCTGCTGGGGGTTCCTCTCTCTGGGGACTGCTCTCTGTGAGCCCACACAGCCGCTCGCTCGGGCCACCTCCAGAGGGCCACCTCAGTCCCCCAGTGCCTTGACATCCTGGCTGCCGGTTGCTCTCTGGGTTCTAGTTTCAGGTCCCGGAAGGGCCACGGCCAGCCTGATCCCATGTGCAGTCCTGGCCCGATGGGCCGCTGCGAACGGGGTGAGTGTGGGGAGGCGGTGCCACAGTGCACACCTGATGGCGTGCGGTGCAGGGTACTGTTGTGTGGCTTTGCTGTCTCCCTTGGCCGGGAGGAGGGGCATCATTCATCATTCCCCTGCCCAGCACCACCTCCATTGCCCCCCCCACCCCACCCCACCCGTCGAGTGCATTCTGTTGAGTTGTTTTCCCATTTCTAATTATTTGAGGCCAGGGCTGGACACAGAGTTGAGTGGGGGCGTGGCCTCTCCCTGCTCCGTGACCTTGGCTGAGCCTCCTGCACTCTGAGACAGGCCCGGGGAAAGACACACGGGAGTGACTCGCCTCTCATCCTTTCTGCTGCTTGTTCTCTTTTGGACCTGACGGGGACATTGGGTAGTAACTGCTGATGATGGGTGACAGACGCTGGTGCAGACCGGAGGGATGCTTGGAGCTGGGGCAATTATAAGGACACGGGGAGCCTGGGAAGGGGGATGTAGGTTTGTGTAGCCGCACTAGGAGGTCTTGGTGGGGCATTCCTGGCTGGGCCGGGGGGATGAGGGAGGAAACTGTCATCACTGCCTGAGAATCTGAGGGGGCACGGCCCGCACCCTCTGCCATCCCGAATGCTACCACTTCAGGGCATGGGGAGGAGGCCAGAGTGAGGCAACTCAGGTGTCCAGGTTCAGGATCCCAAGCCCTGCTTCTGTCCACCACACCACGTGGGACAAGTATGCCAAGGGCCAAAAATAACTGGGGCCACTCTGAAGTTCACTGGGCTTCAGTGGCGATTGTGTAAGTAAGGCCAGTAGCTCGTGAAGTCCACCCAGCTCGCAGTGACAGCCCATATGGAATCCTTCTGCCCTCTTGTACCCACACAAGTAGCAACAGGAAGAGGGGATGAGGGTGAAAACACGGGGCTTGACATCTTGTCACCTTGAGGACTTAGTTTGTACAATGGGCCACAAGCAGGAGAGTGCCCGGGCAGCCTGGCTACCTCACAACCTCTTGCTTGCCTGCTGCTGAGTGGGGGGCAGAGTCCTAAGGGCAAGCAAGCCGACTCACACAGCAGAGTGATGGGAGCGGGCCGCCAGTGCTGACTGAACAGGCCCACGCACCTCACCCAGCTGGTCAGGGAGGCCCCTGTGACTCGGGTGTCCTGCTGTGATTTTCTTCTCGCAGACTTAGAACTCGCCATATGGTTAGGCCCTGCCAGTGCGGCGAGGCACAGTTGGTCGGCACTTCCTGTGTGCTGGGTACTGGGCAGCAGCCTTACATGGAGTTCTTACTTCTTTCTGACTCCAGCCCCAAGAGATGTGACCTCACAGGAACAGGCCAGATGCGAATGGACCCAGCAGCTAATTGGTTAATCAAGAGGAAAGGTTAAAACGCTAGGAACTGAAAAAATTGTTCATTCCATTTAAACAGTTCCTTTTAACCCAAAACACAAAGATTAGGCATTCATCAATGCCTGTGTGCCACCCGGACCCTTTCTTGGATATGAGCCCACTTTGTTTGCCTAAACCACACCTATAACATCACCTAATTTGCAGCTTTGGTTTCTTTAAAGTAGAGCTCAAAGACATTAATGAAGTAACTGCATGCAAAAACCTTCTAGAATCTTTCACAAACATCTCACTTTTTCTTTTTAGGAGACTCACTTTTGAGTCTTCCCAAAGCATTCAACTTTGTAAGGAAATGAGAAAAAAACCTTCTCTCATCTAATTGGCTTACCTAATATTTAATTAACTTACATAATTAAAACAAAAGAATACCAGACATACATAGGTTTGGATGCAAAGAACTGGTGGCTGGCAAGCTTGCAACTCAGCTGGGAGAAGAGGGTCGGGCTTCCAGGCTCCCGGCCTAGGGAAGCTGGCTGTGCTGGCACAACAGCTGCCATGTGCGCTGGTGGGTGGAGAGAGGTCAGCTCAGCCCGGTAACTCAGCTGCCCGGGATGAGTTAAATGCTCGCCAGTTAGGAGCCTCTGCTGCCTCATCCCCATTGTACAGAAGATACAGCTGAGGCTCAGAAGAGAGAAAGGACAAAGACCTTGGCCTCGAGGGATTCTATAATGTGTTGTCTACCTCTGGTCTTTGTCTTCCCTTAGGAAGCCAGAGGGATGTGGTCTGCACCAGGCAGTGTGGGTTCAGACACTAGGTGGGGGTGGGCAACCGCCTCTTGGGCATCTCTGGGTCCTTGCCAGGCATGTCTTAGTTGTGTCTAAATCCAGCTTCTCTTTCCCAGAGAGGGCTTTTTAAAGCATGACATCATCCTTGCCTTGTCCTTCCTGATGAATGACCACCAGAAAACGTGCCGAGAGAACCTGCACCTCGTGTTCAAGCACCTGGCCCAGCTGCCTTCAGGTAGGCTCACAGGGGGCGCTCGGGCGGCCCCTCGGTCTCTGGTCCAGGCCTGGCATGTGCCATGCTGCCATCATGGCCTAGAGCACATCTTTAAAGCAGTTATGCCTTTATAACTTATGTATGGTACCGCATACATACCAAAAAGGCACAAGTCATACATGAACATTTGACTAAATTGTACTAAACAAGCATGTCACGAACTACCATGATCAAGAAATATGTGGTGTCACCAGCATTCCAGAAACTTCCCACATGCCCCATCTCTATTACTACCCCTCGACTAAAGGTAAATACGACTTTCTATTTATAAGATAGTAGATTAGTTTATACCTCTTTTGGAACTATGTAAATGGAAACATACAGTCAGTAATATTTTGTTTCTGGTTTCTTTTGCTCAACATTTTGTCTCTGAGATCCATGTATGTTACATATTACTGATTTTTGCTGATTTACGTGTAGTGTGGCATTCACATTTATGAGCACACTGCAGTTTATTTATGTACTCGCCGATGGACATTGGACTTCTTACTGGTGGATGGCTGCTCAGAATAGAGTGGCTAGAAGCGTTCTTACAAATATGCCTTTTGGTGGACGTGTATATTCATTTCTCTTGAGACATACCTAGGAGGAGAATTGCTGGGCACGGGATACACTTATGTCCAGCTTTACGAGGTCCGAGAAATGGCTCTCTAAAATAGTTATGCCAATTTACACTCCCACCAGTAGTGTACAAGAGTTCAAGGGGTTCCACACCCTCACCCACACTTGATATTTCCTGTCTTTATATTGTAGCTTTTTTGCTGGGCAGGTGTGTGGTAGTTTAATTTGTATTTGCCTGGTTATTATAGCTCTATTAATGTCCTCTTTTGTGAAGCGCCATAGCGCATGTTTAAGGATTAAAGAGGACCCGCTCCAAAAGGCCCCCCGGCTCCCTGCCCTTTATAGCTGGCTGCTGCTGCTGATCAGACGCAGGATCCAGGGGGCCATGGCCAGAGGGCTGAGGCTGTGTCAGGCTGACACTGCTGTGGCACGTGGTGCAGTGAGCATTTTTAAAGGAGGGCCTCATTTCAAAAGGTGTGATGTCAGGCCTTAAAGGGGATGCCTAAGTTAAAAGTGGACAAAAAGACGTGGCCCAGGAGCCTCACAGGCCTGGGTTTCCTCTGCCTTCTCCTGGTTTCCTGTGTGTCCTGGACAGGTTATTTCCTCATCTCTAAAGTGAGACTGACAGTACCCACCACAGAAGCCTGAGGTGAGAAGGTGCTTGCCGAGTGTGTAGCACAGCGCCCTGCACAAAGCCCATGTACATGCCCAGATTTAGGTGTGAGCATGTCCTGAACTGAGGTCCCAAAGAGAAACGACTACAGGCCAAATGGGGTGGAGTCCTCAGGGGCCTGGGGTTGCTGCTTGGCAGGAGGCTTGCCTTCTTCCATCTGGGCCAGGCTGGGTGTTGGAGTGCATGTCAGGCCACACAGAACCTGCTGGAAGCTTTTAAAAAGACCATCCTATCCCTGGTCCTGTCCCAGGCCAACAGAATCTGTCTCTGCGGGTGGGCCCTGCTCACATTTTTCTTAATGGCACCTTGGCTGAGTCTCCGGTGTGGCCACTGGGGTACTGGAGTTTCTATTATGGACCAGTGCTTGGGGCTGAGCTAAACGAGCCCTGTGCTCGCCATACAGGGGCCGTGCTTGGCGTGTGCAGAGGACACGTGCTGCTCTCACCCAGGGCTCCTAAAATTACTGTGACCTATCGAGTGTTCAGAGAATTATAGAGATAATGATAATGAGCGTCAGGCACCGCACTCAGCTTTGCCAAATCTTAACCTACTGTATTTCATATTTGCTTGCGTTTCTTGTTTAAAAAAGGAAAATACAGTCCAAGCACCCTGTGAGCCTCCCCTGCCCAGCACCCTTCCTCCTGCCCTCCTTTAAGCTACAATAATTTAGTGACCATATTTAGTGTCTTTATATTTTATCACAGATGTAATTACATAGATCTCGCCTTACATGTTTTACAATTCTATGTAAACAGATCTTGCTGTATGTATCCCTTTGCTACTTAAGAATAATGCCATCATTTCGAGATTCATCCCTGTCATGTCATGGGCTCCGTTCCTTTGTTTGAACTGCTGCCCATTCTTCTGGTGTGGTGATGCCCAGTTGACATTCCGTATGCATATCCCCGCCCTGCTGACAGGCACGGGAGTTATTTCCGGGCCTCAGGTTTTCCGAGAGCCCCTCCAAGGCCTGCGCTGGAGGAGGACGTCACCAGGCCCAAGAGGGCGCGGCTTCAGCTTGGCTGGACATCCCCGCTGTGTCCCCGCACACCCTCCCCTGCCGGGAGACTGCCTGCACCTCCCCACCAGCAACTCCGTGCGGGTCTCTGCTGTGTGGCTTTATGGCCTCCCGTGTCCGGGAGGAGGGGTATCTCTCCCCTGCCGGGCACCGCCTCCGTCACCGCCCCTGCCGGGTGCCTCCAGGGCCCGAGCCTGTTCTGTTGCGTTGTTTTTCCATTTCTTATTGATCTGTGGGGGTGTTTCACTTCTTCCGGATCCCAGCCCTTTGTTGGTTACACACATCGCCAAAACCATTTCCTGGTGGTCTGGGTGGCTCCTGACTGCTTGTTTCTGGTCTGGCAGGTTTTCATCTGTGTGCAGTCAGTTCCGTCAGTCTTTCCCTGTGTGTGTGTCGTCGTTGCTGTTTAAGAGCTCATGACAGTGTCCTGCCGTGTGTCCTTCTGAAAGTGTAGAGTCCTGCTCTTCACATTCAGCTCATGAAGGTCCCTGGGATGGATTTCTGTTTGACTGTTTTGAGCTCTTCTTGTCCAGCACTTGCCAGCCCAACACCGTCTCGATGCCCAAAGCACCATGATCCTCTGTGTTCCGACGGACAGGCCCTGCCACCATCCTCTTCCTGCACGGCTTTTCTGGACTCCACGCGTGCTGGGCACGCCACGAGGAGCAGGGTCCTGTGGTTCCGACAAACCTCAGTGGGGCGCCAGTGCCGAGCCTTTATCATGGGATTTCTGGGTGCTGTGCGTTGTCTGTGCCATGCCCTGAAGGGAGGCCTGGGACACGCTGGTGGAGGGCATGTGGCTGCAGGGGCAGCAGGGAGATAGCTGGAGAGAGACAGGGAGACATACAGTGTGGTGGGCGTCCCAGAGGTCCATCTGGGGGTGGTCTAAGTTCTGTGACTCCTGGGTTGGCCAGCGTGGTTGAGTCCCAGGTGGTGTCCTCGATGGGCCTCCAGGTGGCGGTCCAGGTGGGCTGAGGGCATCTATTTCAGCGGCTGCAGTGTTAACAGTGTGGGACCCTGGGCAGTCACGTAGCCTGTCAGCCCGTCTCAACACCAAGCATGGGCAGCCGCAGGGAGCACGTGCAGCCTGGCCGGGATGGCCTGCACTCGGGGCTCAGCCAGCTCTCATGCTGATGGTCATTAATACAGGCTTTCTGTCCGTGGCCACACTGGAAGGCATCCTCTGCGCCTGCTGGAGCACCTGGCACGTGGCTGCCATTCAGCAAATATTGATTGTGTAGCAGGTTTTATACTGTATTTCCAAGGATCATTTGTCAGGTGTTTTCTTGAGGCAGTTCACTCACTTGCTCCTTCATTCACTGGACAGATGTGTGTTGGTCCCAGAAGAACCAGCAGAGGGTGCCACAGGACCGACAGCCCAGTGCGCGGCTCTGCCAACCCCACGTGGAAACATCTTGGGAGCAGGTGCTCTGAAGGAGAGAGCACCAATGCTGAAATGGGGGGTTCTTCTGTAACTGGATTTTGGGATGCAGATGAACAGCCCCAGGAACCCCAAAATTCTACCAGCCCCATGGCCCCGGCCCTCACCCGCCATGCCTCTGGTGGAAGCCTGGGCCCAATCGAGCCCTGTGAGCCTGGCCTGGCCCTCTCCCCATGTCACCCCACCCCGGTGCCAGGCTCCGACCTGCGGGCCCAGCTTCACTGGCGGTGCCGCACAGACCACTCTGTCCCCTTCCTGCCAGTGTGCGGCCTGATTTGGGTGGGGCTGTGCGGTTGGAGGTAGGCACCGGCCCAGGATGGGGAGGGCGGCAGTGCAGGTACACTCAGGACCATCCCGTGGAGCAGGGCTGGGCTGGGGGTGGGGGACAGGCTGTGGCAGGGGAGACCAGCAGAAGCCTTGGCACAGTGTGCTTCGCCAGTCAGGGGAAGAGGGGTGGGGCTGGCAGCCCCTGAGGGGTGGGCCTTTCTTTTCTCACCTGCCTTCAGGGTGTGGTATGCCAGGGCCTGAGTCTTTGGTGGGCAGTGGGCCCCTTTGGGACTTAGAAAAGGACGATGCCCATGAATGGTGACACTGCCCACTTGGTTGTCAGCCTGGTGGGCATCGTCCTTTTCTAAGCCCCTTCTCCTCTCCCCTCCCTATCTGCTTGCCCTCTTCCACAGGGAGAGCCGTGTCCTCTGTGTCCTCATGGCCACCCTTGGGCTCTCTCAGGACAGGCGACCTTTCCCAGCCTTCTGCATGAGGTGTTCATATGATTGCCAGGCTGTTTGGGATAGTCCATTCCACGTGGAATTGCCAAGGGGGTCAACTCCACCTGCGGCACATGCTGGGCAGAACCAGCTGGGGCCTGGCCTAGGGCCTGCTCCCACGCCGAAGCCCTTAGGCCAGCCCATCTCGGTGAGGTGAGTCCCCCAGTTGGCCCCACACTCCATGCCTGTTTGTCCTAGATGGCCAAGGCCCCCAGGGGGTTCCCAGGAGGGTGGAGACAGAGCACAGCCCTGGGGACCCAGGCCTGGTCAGGTCATCACTCGTATCTGTGACACCAGGGTGTCATCCCCTCTCAGGGTCTCTGCTTTCTCTTCTGCAAAATAGAATCAATCATCTCAGCTCCTCAGTTGGAAAGGATGCTCAGCTCAGGGCCTGGCATGTGGGGAGCAGTCTCTGAAGGGAGCTGGGGTTATTGGGACACTGTCATTGTAGACCACACAGGCTACAGGGGAGGACGTGCCCGGCAGTGCACCCTGGGGAAGGGAGTCTATGCCCATGCCTGGCCTAGGGTTAGTGTTCTCCAGGGGCAGGGCTGGACTAGCTTTTACTGCCCAGGGAAGCACTTCTCCCCTCCCCGCTGTTTGCAGCTCATTTCCTTCTGGGTAATGCCCCAGCTTCTCCTGGGTCTTCATCTCTGCACACATTGGCACCACTGGGGCATAATAGAGGAAGGAGGTGGGTCAGACGATGCCAATACCCCTTTCCAGCTCGCCCTGGTGTGGGTGTGCTATGTGCAGGAGTGCAGGAGGGGTGACTTCCGGTGGCCAGAGGCTGGGCCCTGAGGGACTGATGGATCCCGGACCATGAGGGTGGGGAAGGGCATGTCAGCCGAGGGGTCAGCGAAGCACAGTATGGATGCGGCTGGCCGGTGAGGGGCAGAGCCAGAGCAGACAGGCCGAAGCAGAGGGCCGGCCGGGCTCTGGGAGCCAGGAGGAGCCCTGGCCCAGGGCAGCCGCCTCGCATCCTTGGGCACATCAGGAGAGACGGCAGAATCCTCCTCTTTCCCCTGCAGCTGTGTATTTTTAGGCTAATGATGCACAAGGTGAAATTACTGCTCTTTTCACAGTTGGCATTAAAAGCACAAAATAAGTTTCAAAGATTTTTAAGTCACACTTTATTTCTTCTTATAAAAAAGCCCCCTTGGGGTTCTGCCATTCAGTGACATGGGAAGGTATGAAGGGAATCCCCACATGGGCTCAGGAGTCGGGTGGGGAGAGCGAACCAGGTCAGGACGTGTGTCTGAGTGCCGTGTGTATGTGCGTCTCTGCCTGCTGCTCCTGGCTCAGGGCTTCATGTAGGTCCTGGATTCAAGAAGGTACAGGGTGGCTCCCCCTGGGTTCCTGCCTGTCCAGGTACAGAGCAGTCAGGGACAGTCAGGTAAAGACCCAGGCCTCTGAAGAAGAAGGATGGTTAGAATGGCTCCAGCGTTCCCTGACCTTGACCTTGGGCACCTTTCCTCATCTGTAAAATGGGTCATAGCTGACAACCTGCCATGGTGCAAAGTGTCCAATAAAATAATTTTTAGGGAGGCTGGTGCATGGTGAACAAACTACCTTGACTTCTAATTAGTGTTTTCCACCATGTGGACATGCCTCTAGTCACACAAGCCAGAGTCAGCAAATGGTGGGCCATTGGGGGGCCCTCCTTCCCATCTCCCGCAGGGCCTGCCCTACACTGCTGGGGCTTGTTGGCACCCTCCAGGCTCTCGGGCACTTGTCCTGTTCCATGGGGATGACTCTGACCCTCGGAGAAGTGCCTTTAGGGTGTGAGGGGCCCAGGTGACAGTTCAGGCTGGTTCAGTGCTGGGCAGGAGTTCTGGGGACTGCAGAAGGGGCAAGGGCCATCAGCACCCCCAGACCATAGCCCCTTGGAACGCATGGGCCTGCAGGACTCCCCTCTTCTGCAGCCTCTTTCCTCTTTTGGAGTTATTCTTGATGTTCCTTTCAAGTTGATCCTAAAGTATGTGGAGTGGAAGAGGAGAGGAACCTCAGCATGGAGGGTGTCCCTGGCCGCCCTCCCGGTGTCAGCCACGCACGCACACAGCACTCCAGGACGAGGCTTGACTCATTCAGGGTATTTTATTTTCTTAAAGTAGACAATCTCTGACTTTCATACAACCACCAGCTCCTCTTTCCCTCTGTACATCTCTTAAAGTCCTTGGCTGTGATTCCACACGCTGACTTTGGACCCAGTACTGAACAAAGGCTGCGAGAAGGGGACCAGGCAAGGGCTCTGGCGGCACCTTCCCTCTCGGCGGCAGCGCTTCCTATTTACACGCGGCCCTCGGCCAGTCCTTTTGTGGTGGCAGGTGCCACAGGGCCTGGGCGCCGGGCCCCAGCGGGGCCTCCCTCAGGCTGCAATGCTGGCGGAGCCTTCACAGGAGTTGTAGCCGCACTCAGGCATCTCGGGCGCAGGGCGTGCGGGGGCCGGGCTCTCGCCTCCCTTTCCTCTACTTGCGAAGCCACAGATAATGTACTCTTTAAATACCAAGACATTAGCTATTGTTCATTCGCTCCTAGGTGAAGAACCTTCTTTAAATACATCACATTTATTTTCTGAAATAAAAACGAAGCAGAAACCGCACCATAACAAGGACGCTGCACAGGTTTATGTACAACACGGCCCCTAGAGGCTGCTGCGGGGCAGCCATTGGCCCCAGCGTCTCGGGAGCAGAAGGACAAACTCGTCCGGACAACTTTTACACTCAGCAAGCCAGACACGAAAAGGACCACCTGAAAAAAAATATGTTTTGAAAATCTGCATTTTAAAAAAGAAGATTCAACTGCATTTGAAATTTTCTGTTATTTTTCCGCAAAACACCACAAGATCTGGCCAAAAAAAAGGATGTCAGAGAAGAAAAACCAGGTTTTGATTTATAAAACATCAGACTAGTAGAAGAAAAGCTGGAACCCAGCTGGCCTAGTTTGAAACAAAATGTGCCACTCGTGTTATTGTGATTTTTGCTGCATATTTTGAAGCTGTTTAAAAAGAGCTGTGAGTGGCTAGAGGTCTGGTTAGTGCTGCCATCTGGCCTTGAACCCTGGTTCCGGAATGAACACGGTACTAGGCCAGCGGTGCGCATGGCCAGCAGGGAAGGCGCATGGACCTCGCTCGGGTCCTCCCTCCTGGTCAGCGGCAAGGTCCCCAGTCTGGAGCTCGGGCAGAGCTGGCCTCCTCCAGGCGGCCCAGCTGCCTCTCCCTGTAGTCCCACACGGACCCCTATGCAAAGTGGGGCCCACTCAGGAAGGCAAAGTGAAGGGGCAGGAAGGGCTTGTAGTGAACTTGGTGAATAGCTCCTCACATTTCAAGAGACCTTAGCTTTGGGGACTCTGCCATCTCCAGACTGTGTGTAAGTGTGTGTGTATGTGTGTGTGTGTGTGCGTGTGTCTACCTACCTAGCAATCTATCCATATATATTTATGTGTATGGAAACGTGGGTGCCAAAGAGGCAGAGGGGTAGGGGGACACTCTTCAGGCCCCACGTTTTCTGCCCCTGGGCCGGGTCTCCCTAGCACAAGTGGGGGTGTGACACCCCGGGGGTTTCGCCACAGGCAAACTGGCTGGCCTGGCCTCTCAGCAAAGGCCTATGTACTTGAGATTGTTCTGTATGATGACGTCTGTTACCGCGTCAAACACAAACTGGATGTTACTGGTGTCGGTGGCACAGGTGAAGTGGGAGTAGATCTCCTTGGTCTCCTTGTTGCGGTTCAAGTCCTCAAACTGCCGCTGGATGTAGACGGCGGCCTCCTCGTAGGTGTTCTGGCCCTTGTACTCAGGGAAGCAGACGGTGAGGGGGATGCGCCGGATCTTCTCTGCCAGCAGGTCCTTCTTGTTCAGGAAGAGGATAAGCGAGGTGTTGATGAACCAGTTGTTGTTGCAGATGGAGTCAAAAAGGCGCAGGCTCTCCGCCATTCGACTCTGCGAAGAAAACGCTGGCGTTAATCGGGGCAGCAAGGAAAGGCCCTGGACCCACAGCCCCGCTGGGGGAAGCCCCCCTTGGCAGGGTCCCAGCCCAGCGCCAGCCCTGAAAGAAGGCCCTCCTGCTGGGATGTCCCCCCTCCGCCCAGTCAGAGCTGCCTTCACCTGGGGCCT